GAAAACATCGTTTTCTGTCTATCATCCTAAATGGTCCCTATGGAGGATAAGGTTGAATTTTATATTGAAACGTGTTCGAGTAAATCAAATAGCGACAGTATGCAATGGTTACATACTAACAATAGTTTGACGTCATAGATAATCATCACGTAGTAAACGTATCACTTTTACTAATTAAAGTTTTAAAGCACAGTCGAACTATTAAAGCAATTAAGAGAAATTCGTTTAGAAAATATTTGAAACCCAACTGGAATACAGATTTATCAAAGCTTCATAGAGAAATGGTTTCTAAGAGGTCCCTTTGGGCTATGGCTGGGAAACCAAGAGGTGCAAATCCTACTTTTTTAGAATATAAACGTCTTAAAACAAATTTCAGACGTTGTTTACGTCACGCTTTTGACACTTATATGAAAGAACAATACGCCGAAATTGATAAATCTGGAGAAATTGATCAGAATCTCTTTTGGAGGTTTCGTTGTCGCAATACCCGTGGTTGTCAAACAGAAATGAAGTATAATGGTACCACCCTACGTGACCCTGAACAAATTGTAGAAGCTTGGGTGACCATTTTAATGATCTCGTCAGTAATGATATGAATGAATCTTCTGATAACAGTTTTTTCCATGATGTTTCATTAAATATTGATGTTATACAAGATAAGCTTCATCTTGACTAAGATATTTTTCTTGCAGACGTTTTTACTGTTGATGAAGTTAGAACAGCGTGCATAAAGTTAGAAAATAATAAAGCTGGAGGTTTTGATAGTCTTGTCTATGAACATATTAAGAACGGGAGTGACAAGCTATTGAGGTATGTTACACATTTGTTTAATCTTGTTGTTCATTACAGCCACATACCTAACGATTGGAAAAGAGGGACAATTTTTACGTTGTACAAAGGTAATGGGAAACCCAAAGATAACCCAAACAGTTATAGAGGAATGACTCTCATACCAGTCTTTTTCAAAATATTTAAATCTGTTTTGTTAATTAGAAAGGAATCCTTGTTGGATTCAGAAACATTTCCAAATACATAACAATCTGCTTACCATAAAAACGTGTAGTTTATGCACGTCGTTTAATTTGCTAGAATGTATCAGATATAATTAAGAAAACGATTCAGATTCTTTTGTTGCATCCTTAGATAGCAACAAAGCATTTGATACTGTTTGGCATAACGGGTTACTTCTTAAACTGTATAATTTGGGCTTCAAGGGAAAAATCTGGAAAATATTAAGGCTTATATATACTGGCTTTGTTAGCTATGTTGCTTTTCAAGGTCACTTGTCTCCTCCTGTTTTTATGGAAAGGGGGATATTACAAGGTGGGTCCTTATCAGCAAAAATGTATTTAGTTTACATCAACGATTTGTTAAATGAAGTAGAATTGTCAGGTAAAGGAGCCATGATTATTGACTGCAAGGTTAACATTACTACGCAGGCTGACGACATATGCTTAATCAGTAATACTAGTGTTTGTTTACAAGAATTAGTATACATTTGCGTAAATTATAGTTGTAAGTGGAGATTTATGTTTTCTGTTACCAAAAGTAAAAATGTTGTCTTCAGTAAGTGCAGGACGCTGCCACAGCATGTTTACCTTTATGGAAAAATATTATCAGTTGTTGAAAAGATTACCCATGTAGGCGTTTTGCTGCATTTTAGATTTTGTTCGTCAGATAGAACAGAAACAGCCTGTAGAAAATTAAAGAGCGGTACATTGGCTCTTGTAAAGTCTGGAGCTCATTCTAGATCCCTCAACCCTCTAACTATAGCCAAAATTATAAAGTCTAAAGTATTTCCATCCGCTTTATATGGGTGTGAATTATGGCAACTATCGAGGGCTGAATTGATTAAATTAGAACGCGCCCAGAACTTTATAGTGAAGTTCAGGGTTTCAATGCTAGAACCGGAACTGTTATGGCTATCTCATTAATCGGTTGGACATCAATCGAAGCATATATTGATACAAGAAAACTCTTGTTCCTAGGACGACTTTGTCAAATGAATAGAAAATACCGGACTCATTCTGTTTTTCTTAAACGTTTACTTTTGCATCAGTTGAACGACGCTTGTCAAAGGGGTTTTATTCCTGATATTGTGAGAATATTGCGCAAATATGATTTATATGTGTATCTACTAAAATATGTTTCAGATACCGTTTTTCCTAGTAAAGCATTGTGGAAATCTATTGTTCATTTTTATGGAAATTAGCGTTGAAGTTTACAGAACATTTGCATAGAATGCAAAACGTTATGAAGTTGTGTATCGACATAAGGTCTTCTAATGTAATGGAATTATGTCATTTTTGAGGAAATTTACACAGCGATATTACTACCCATATTGTTCTACATTGTACAAAGACTGAAGTACTAAGAGACACTCTTTGGTTCCTGATCTGTTAAAATGTTAATATAGAATTTATGACTTATTTGCAATCTTTGCCAGATTTTGATATTATACATATATTACTTGGTGAAAATGTTCAGTATACATTATCTGCATTAGACTATGAATGTTTTGCATTAATTTGCGCCATTTCTATCGATAAAATGATGAAATTGTTTCATCGTTAATTATAAAAACAAATGTATTACCTCTTACATATTCCCTTTCCTATGATAGACTTTATATCATATATATCTAATATTGTAATACTTTGTAAATTCCGTAAATTTCATATCATTAGTACTTAAATACTGTGCATATAGAAACATGTATACTTAAACATGTCTATTTCATGAATTGAATTGATTATCTATTAACTTGTATATATGTTTTTGTGACTCTTCAAATTGGAGGAAATAAAGAAATAATAATAATCATCTTCTGTCTAGCATCCTAAATGGTCCCTTTGGAGGATAAGGTTGAATTTTATATTGAAACGTGTTCGAGTAAATCAAATAGCGACAGTATGCAATGTTTACATACTAACAATAGTTTGACGTCATAGACAATCATCACGTAGTAAACGTATCATACTAATTAAATTTTTGAAATACAGTCGAACTTCGATGTTTCGAAGACGGCGGGGACCGTTGGAAAACTTCGAGTTACACGAGTTTTCAATTTAAGTGACATCGAATGTTTAATGAAAAGGTTGGCCGTGGGATATGAAATACATCGATTTAAATCGTGTCTTCGAGTTATACGAGTTCGAGATAACGATGTCCGACAGAACCTAAAATAACATCCAATATCTGACTATTATTGCCATTGCTCATTGTTTTGACCTGAGAAACGAAAACAGTATACTGTCAAAAGAATTTTCCACTTAAGGGATAAGGCTGCTGGTAGCTGGTTATTTAGTTTGAGTGTAAACCGAGGTAAAATCATCGTAAGAAATCAACATACGTATGTAATATCTATAGATATAATATTTGAACTGTCTTTTTACGGCATTTTATAAATATCACTTTCTCAAGCGCATATACAATATTATGCCAAACTCATCATCAATTTCTTACCAAAAGCTTTACTGATAACGCATCTAACCGAAACAGCCGATCACTGGTAATTTTGTCATGGATGAAGCTGTTCTTATTTTGAGAACATGAAATTTTTAGATTATTTATATAGTCGGTGTGGCAATGAAACATTTTATGTTGTTCCTGTCCTTTTTCGCGCTCGAATTGTACCTTCGATCGTTGTTTGCTTTAAGTTCAATGAATTTAAGTTATAGTTTTATTTTCAACTTCGCATTGAACTTTTGTTTGTGTTGAACAAAAAACGTGTTGGTGTTATATGAAACGATTTTAATTTAACGATACACAGCAATTACGATAGGTTCATTAAATGTTATCTGACTATGATTCATTGTTTTATAATTTATATGTTGACATTTCTATATTATTCTGCTGGAGCAACAGGTAAGACATCAGCTGGTCAGTACGTCATACGTATCGTCCGATATAGGCATCACGTGCCGTTTATGTGAAGTAAGACAAAGTGTTATTGATTTTATACCAGAATGCACACACATACTCGGTGTGCTGTATCAAAACTCAGGGACTAGTAAACCTCACTGTCTAGATTCTGACATGTATTTTTCGATGGATTTTGATATTTTTTAGTCTCCTCCTAGGTTTCAAATTCCAGACTCTTAACATTATTGAGGAGTCCTAGAAGGATGAAACAACTATATGATGAAGTTTAATTCATTATTTGGTTCTACTGTATCTAATTCTAAATTTGTTCGTTTATGTATTTTGTACAATTTTTGAGTACTTCTTGTCATTCGACTAAACATGACATCAAGAAGATTCCTACTAAAGCCTACTAAACCCCTTCATAACGTTATTTCTAGACAAGACTCTGTCATGTAATACGTGAATGGACTAGTCTATACCAGTTAAAATATTCACATTCTATCTAACAGAACGATTACCAAGATCTCGTTCTTCCTAAACGACGACTGTTATCCAGAAACAAACCAGCGATAGATTAAACGTGATATAAGGCATTAATTAACAGAAATCTCGGCAAAACGGGACGAAAACTGAGTGACACAATGAATAACGGTCTTTGAAATGCTTTTATGAGCCGTATACCGTTTCATATTGTTCTTTATTTGGGTGTACTTACCTTTATTTAGATAAGTATTCTATATTTTTGATCTGTTGTCAATATGTATGTTACATAATAATTACAATCGAACTTCGTTATTTCGAAACCGGCGGGACCCTTTGAAAACATCGAATTATCCGAGTATCAAATTTAAGCAAGATCGAACGTTTGGTGAAACGTCCAGCGGGGACAGACGAATTATATTTCAAAACTTCGAATCAAACGGGGTCTTCGAGTTGTACAAATTCGAGATAACGAGTTTCGACTGTATAATATATGTATGATTATAAGTATTGTAAACGATCGCAATAGAACATGATATACACATAAGATACAACGTGAATAATAGAGAAAAAAATCTGGTGTCATTTGCACCTGCATCTAACGTATTGCACACTATTGGCCATATGTCACGACCCTGATATCACTATAGAGTATGGAGAAGACGAGGGACACACTTGTGTTTTATGTGAATCAACAAAAGGTGAGTCAGGACATACATTGTCGCCTTTACATGATGGATGTATAGTTTATTTCTTCTTGTTCGCACAACTTGACTTCAAAAAAGGCAAGTAGTTTTCGTCATGGTATGTTCGTTAATGTTGTTCATTAAGCATTAAAATTGTCAAATTTGTTGCCCTAATTTGAATCGTCATAGTACATAATTATAAGTGACGAATATAATTAGAAAGCTTATAGCATTCGTTTTAAATAAGTGTAACATATCGCCTAGTTATTTAAATCTTTTTTAGAGTATTCACTTGACGCCGTAACAGCGTCGTTTTGTTTTGAATAGCATGTGTTTATCTTTTATAAAATCGTACGTATGCGTGAAAATTAACACTTCACAGGTATTTATGGTTTTGATTTACAAAATTATTCCTTTTTCCCCCTATATACTGGAGCTCTTTGATATCTTTTTGAATATACACTATGTTGATATTAAATCAAAAAGTTAGATAAATTTGACTACCTTGTATGGTCAATGATTACAATTACAAATTGAACACACAACTGTCAGAACTAACTAACACAGGATTGATATTGTTTGTTCTAACACGGGATTGGTTTGGTTAATTCTAACACAGGGTTAGTTTGGTAAGTTCATCAGGTTTGAACCAACCAAACCAACCCCGTGTGAGAACCCAATGTTAGGACTAAAGCAAGCAACCTCGTTTAAGAACCAACCAAACCAACCCCGTGTGAGAACTTACCAAACCAACCCAATGTTAGGACTAAAGCAAGCAACCTCGTGTAAGAACTAACCAAACCAACCCGATGAAATAACCAAACCAATCCTGTATTTGAACTAGCTAAACTAACCCCATTCCAGACCATAACAAAACGATATGACATTTTGGCGCCTTTTTGACCTGTGTTAAGTCAGCGCTTTGCACGTCGTCTCAGATAACACATATTATAGCTTAACATTAATCACTTACATGATTATGATTTTCAAGCCACTTTCCAACATAAAAGATAGGATGACAAACCATTAGAACTTGACAAAATAGACAAAGTTTTATTTAGCAATATATTAAATGTAAATATAAATATTGATCGGTAGTCAAAGTATACTCATCATCAGTATGATTGCGATTTCGATGACAGACAAATAATAATCTTATTTATGTTCAACCATATTGCATTCATATTGACAATAAATGCAACCAGACGACCGTTCAATGGTAAAGTGTTTACATTAGGTATATATATTATTGATGATGTTGGCAGATCTGTTGTATTAACCCGCACATTATCTGTTTTTCTGTTTGAGTACAGATGTTTATAGGTTACACATATTACAGCACTGTCTCGTTACTAATCCTTCATATAACAGAATCGATGCGTACGTATGTAACACACCAACAATTGTTTCATATACTTCTAAACGAAAACATGAAAACATAGTTAAAACTGTTTAAGCAACAACTTGTTAGAATTAACTTTGGTCTGGATAGAATATTTATATATAATTTCTCAATTAATATACTATCATCAGTTGAAAAGTACCTCTATACTGCGACCACTCAATTAGAAATTACCTCACTGAGACATCAAAGTCACTCAGACAATTCCTCTGTAAAGATACCTCTGTCAGTTAGAAAGTACCTCTATAAACGGACCAGTCAATAGAAATTACTTCAGTTTTAAAATCCCTCTATAGGAATACCATTGTCGGTTAGAAAGTACCTCTATAAAGTGAGAATTCATCTAGAAAATACCCCGTAAAAGTATCACAGTTCATTGGAGAATTCCTTCATAATGATACCTTTGTCAGTTGAAAAGTACCTCTATAAAGCGACCAGTCAATTAGAAATTACCTTATAAAAATATCACAGTCAATTTATAAATTCCCTCTATAGAAATACCATTGTCAGTTATTAAGTACCTCTATGAAGCGACCAGTAAATTAGAAATAACCTTATTAAAATATCAAAGTCACTTGGATAATTTCACCATAAAGAAACATCTGTTGGGTAGAAAGTACCTCTTCACAGCGACCAGTCAATTAAAAATTACTTCATAAGGATATCGCAGTAAATTTGAAAATACCTCTATAGAAATAATATTGTCGGTTAGAGAGTACCTTTATAAAGCGACATCTCAAACTGAAATAACATCATGGAGAGTAATTCAGGGACTACCTCTATAAAGAGAACACGGTCAATGAGAAAATTGTGTACTGACTTATGTCGACAAGGACGACCTCTATAACGAAACCACCAGCAATACTTAATTTACGTATCATTCCAGCAAAATCACAAGCACTGATGCCGCAAAACCTCTCTAATCAGACGTTATATTATATTGGGCAACACTTCGAAATGATGCTCTACGTGCGCTTTTTCATTTTAGAAGGGATTGCATCTTTAGACTATTCTGCAAGACCAGGCCCCACTTGTATAAAACATCTCAACTTGAGATTTCCTCAAGTCGAGATTTTCCTGAGCTGATATCTCCTCAAAAACGGCTAGTATAAAATTTTCTCAAGGAACAGGAGGAAGTCATCGGCTAGGATGTCCTGAAATTCCTTGAGGAATTTTCATACAAGATATTTTCAAGGATATAATAGCTGAGGAAAATCTCTACTTGAGGAAATCTCAAGTTGAGATGATTTATTCAAGTGGGGCCAGGTGAACTAAACTGGGAAAATGGAATTCCTTATCTACTCATTGTAAATCAAGTATCAGCAATACACTGTGTAAGATATCATATTTTTTTCCTTCGATTTAGATCGTGGAGAATAGGCCTGATCCGACAACAACATTACTGCAATATCTCCGACGGCATTGTATCCTTAAGTATGTAAAGAATGTCATAAACATTGACCTACTTTAACATTGCGCATGTCTGAAAACGTTCTCGTTTTTTATTATCTCCATGTAAGTAGCTATACCTCAAATGGATTTATGTCATATGCATGTATTGTCATATCTCAATGAATTTAATTAGTCAGAGAAAATAAAGATAAAAAAAAAAGAAAAAAATCTGAAAATAAACAACATTTGTTGATTCCAATGAATGAGAATATATTTTTGTTAGTAATACCTACACATTAATTGCAGTATAATTTCCTACAATGTATGCACATGTAAATTAGCAGTTTTGATGTGTTTAAATTGAAAAGTACGATTTTATTTATATCACTGACTAAATGTCAAATCTATAGAGTTTGAAAGGAGTTACATCATAAATAGATATGATACTATTAAATATATGTTTTAATGTAAACTTAGAAAATATTGTAACAAGTCGTGATGCTAGAAAACTGATCCATGCCTAATATATTAATCATTAAATATTTGCATCCGACATAGAAAGATGTTTTCCTTAAAGTTACCAAGTAAAACTTACAGGAACGAAAAACGCATGTAATCAGGGAGGATGTGGATCGTGTACAGTGATGTTGTCCTGGTGGGACAAGGCAGAACAACAGATCAAGTATCCTTTTTGTAACCAAAGCTGAAATAAGTACATTGCATGGGGACGATCAATCGACATCAGCTGTAAGCTGAATTGAACCTCTTTATGTCGGATTGTTATATGATGATGTAAATTTAATAAGTTAGGAGGATTAAAGGGGATGTTTTGACAAATAACATAAAGCATGTGTATTTAGATGTAAAAGTTTCTTTTTCATTTGCGGTAATAATTATGCAAAGCTCGTTTTGGTATCGAATGTTTAAAGTAAAAATAGTCTTGATGTAGCAGATATGCATTATCAGCCAAATGATCATACAGACGATTTTAAGTAATAGTTCTAAATATTTATCTTAACGATTCCTCAGACATTCAAATGTGAATGCTTGCCTTGTGTTGGTATGCCATCTCCATGGTTACGCGGTTACGACAGTGGAGGGGGTGGGTAGTACTCGAAAGGGACTCAGTGGAATACAGGTAGGTTAATCTATTATATTATAGGTGATTTCATTTTTAATAAATGCTTATAAATACAAATTACTTTATTATATTACTTATCATTTATCAATATGTTTTGGTTACGAGGATTTTACAGCACGCATTAACATGAAATACTTTATTTCTTGTGATGTCATGTACTTTGGGGTAATGATACCTTGGAGATATCATATTATATTTGAGTTGTCTCCCTTAAATAATGAAAACGACTTCTTTTGTTTAAAATTCCTTTTTTTCTTTTTCCAATAATAGTTTTTTTGCTGTTCAAACTTTAACAAAAATTAGACGACGAATAATTTGAGCTATCGGAAATAATTCCTCCTTGATCAATATGACATCAAAAGAAAAAGGCATATACGTACTCTTTATTCTTTGCCCAGCGTGTATGTTATAAATACAATATTCTATATTTAGATATTCATGAACTTGACGTTTGATGTTGGCATATTGTTCCTTTAAAAGAAGAGAAATACTTGATTATTGTAGACCAGTCTGATGGAGTCGTTTGGTCTCCAATGTGGTTTCTGTACACCGGGCATGGTGATGACAATGCACTCCTTACTACAACAGACCGCAGAGCCGTCTCAGGAATCTCTAGAAATGGCACTGGAAGGTATATCTGTTGTTCTGCAATTATATATAGGATCAATGAAGTAATAGCAATTGTACGGACAAGTAAATTGTCAATTTGTCGAGGCAACCCGCCTATTTATCAAGACACAAATATTACATAAATTACATCACATACATAGAACATGAAGCAAATGTGTTCTGCTCTTATATATAGGTATTTTAACCTGCATTAATAGATGTTTCATTTAAACATGATTTAAATATAGCCACAATTTAGCCCGAATTAGAATATAAAGGTGTCAATATTTAAGAAAACGCTTATAAACGTGTTGCCTATGTGCCAACTTTTAAAAGAACACAATACAAATCGATTCCGGGTTATACATGTGTTGCCTGGGTGTTTGTTTTATAATCACGATACAAATAAATACTTTATTACAATAGGCGCTATCACTAAGGTCTCGTGTATATATAAGACGTTTGTTTACCAATGTGTATGTATCGTATTTAATGTATTTGATAATTGATTTCATCTTTTATCTATAGGAAACATTTGTCGTTGCACTGGGTATCGGCCAATTGTTGATGCTTTTCAAAACTTCTGCAAAAAGGTAAAATGTAACAAGATGCTGATGTCGAGTACTGCTTTAGTATAAACATACTGGTTCGAACGTATTGACTATGATACGAGAAAGATATTTGATTATGTTAACGCATATGTCGTAGTGCCTATACCATTATCATAAATAATCAGAAAAAAACATGGAAGACATAATACATCTTAAATATTAATTGTACATATCATTTTCTTCTCACACATGAAAAATGCAAACGTTATAAATGTCACATCCTTTGTGTGCAGAAATTTGTATACAATTTGTAAAAAACATTTGTGTTACATCATAGAAAAAATAACCATCTCAATCTGTATTATTATTACATTTAATCTCTCTATGTACAATAGTGAACATATATTTTTTTTATAGAAGTAACTGATTCACAATATCTAAATAACAATATTTATAGTGTTATAACTAGGTTTTCAGTGAAATTGTTTGTTTGTACGAAGGGTTGTGAAAAACGTGGCCAGTGTGACAAAGGAGACATAGAAGACCTTTGTCAATTAACCATTAATGGCAGCGGTAAACATGAGGTACGTAATTCATACAAAAGGGTTTCGTATCATCATCTTTCCACATCTACCTTAGCGTCCATATATCATGGCGTATTATCTACCTATCCGCTATTACTATCTTATCTTTACATCTGTGACATAGAAATTCAATCCAATTTACTAATTGACGATAAGGAGGATACAACACGAAAGAAAATATTAGCACGGATATTTTTGAAAACGTACATGGAGCAGACAAAAATAATGTAAATTTATAAAATAGAAACAGTTAACAAGAAGGAAGACACAAGTCTGTGTCAATGCCTCAAAAGGTTCAGGTTTCAAGTTTAAAACTGATTTAAATAACAGCTAAGTCCTTTGTACTCCAAATATTAGTTTGAACCATTCTTCGTTTTAATGTGGAAATATTAGGTGTCGTCGCATTGGATCAGGTACAGCGATGTAAAATTATTTGTTAATAGTACAGATTCTTAAATGTATCAGAATATGATAATGTTTTCCTTTATTTGTAGAATATCGATGACGACAAATTGGAAGGGAAAATACGATTTCCGAAAGAACTTAAGGTAAATTCTTATTGATATAGACATTATGTCTTCAGGATGGCTTATATCAGAACTAGGTCTTTATGCAATAAACTTTGGCATTTTAAAAATACTTTTTCCAGATAGAAAAGCCTTTTTTTCAAGTTATCCATTCATGTAAACCTATTTATGTATCTTCTAGATGATTAATGCTTTTAAACATCATTACAAATAGTGAGGACTAAAATTGTATAATCAATACATTTTGATAAAGGACCAGGGTACGGAGAAATTAGTGTTCCGGAGTGGCGACTGGAGTTGGCTGAGACCTGTCACTATACAGGAGGTGCTGAGTCTAATGGACAAAGAACCAAATAGTCACATCGTGATGGGAGGCACCAATTTGGGTATAGTTATTATCATATACGTATATCATTTATCGATATATAAGTCGCTTTGATGTTGGAAGCTATTTCTTAAATTGTAGATAAATTGTATTTGCTTAATCACGGCGGGGATAATGAACAAAACAATACAAAAAATCCAATTTTGCCGGATTTCGGAAAAAAAAAATAAGTAATTTTTTAAAACAACCTTACTATATTCAGTCTATGATATTATTTAGATATTCTCAGCTTATTCACATTTATAAGTATACAAAAATGCTACCTGATATTAATCTGAAGTTTAAAGACTGCAAGACGTAATATTGGCAAATTTTGATCTTTCAGTTGAACCGATTTCTGTAATATATTTTTTCTGTACTTTTCCTCCTAACGACATTGACATAAACTTAGTGACAATAATGTACGAATCTTCTTCACAGTTGGGAAACTGAAATCAAATACCATAACCAAAGGAACATTGATTTCATGCAAAAATGTCCAGGAAATGACAATATTTAAACACAACGAAGATGGTATTGAGATGGGAGCAGCGCTAACACTGACCAATGTCGCTGAGCGATTGAAGGCGTGCAATCTTTCTCTCAATGGTTTGTATATATAGGTATATAAAGTCATCTAATTCATTTTCATTATTAATTTATTAATGATGACTAATTTCTGTACTGCCATTGATGTTTTTTCTCTATTGCTTTAAAAAGTTTTTGATTTCAATGTTTTTCTTTGGAAAAACTTTAAAACAAATGTTTCATGAAACATTTTCAGAAAAATAAAGAGAAGATAATAGCAGTTTTATATATTGTTATGGACGGAAATTAGCTAACACATAAATTACATGTTCTGATGAATATCCATTATGTGCATTTGTGTTATATGCAATATCACGAAATCTGTTAAGTTTGTGATTGGTATCAACCTTATCAACAGGAGGTGGTATACGAGGTCACGTGGTCACAGCGATGTTGGAAAGTCTCCGCTGGTTAGCATGTCAGCAGATCAGAAACCAAGCGGTTAGTGTCGTCAGTCTGCATAATGTTAATTTTCGTTATGATCCTTGCTCTATTGTAGTTAATTTATTCGATGCTCATTAATATTTCTGTTGGTTTCGTTGATCTTGACTTTGCATTCATTTGAGGTGACACTACGCACTTGGACTGACCAAGATTAGCATACTGTAAATCACTTAGATTTCGTGAATACATTATTTGGCGAACTTGCCTCTTTAGACGTATTTGAGTAAACATAACTTCGCGAATAGTGATCTAGCAATGTCTTTAAATTAGGAAATGATGTCCTATTAAATATATAGACTCGACTCTGATATCAGTAACAGAATCAGCATGGATTTCTTCAAGAGTTATTTCTGTACAAATAATCGCGAGAGAGTTAAATTCGCGTTTATAATAAATCCAACGCGAAATAGGTTTTCATAGGAACGGTGGCATTCTTGCAGACATCTATTTTTTAACTTGTAACATTCTGTCATTGTCAGACTCTTGGAGGTCACGTGATGATTTCTGACCCTCGATCCGATTTATGTGTCGTGTTAGTGGCTGCTGGAGCAAGAGCTGTGGTGATTTCTAAAAGTGGGTATCATTTATAAAGAGGAAGTGGTAATATGTTAGAAAAGTTTTTTGATTTACGTTTTCAATGTAGTTTACAGGTTAATAGAGTAAATATTTTGTATATTATATATTTCAAGAAATGACATTTGTGTAATTAAATGAGAAGCCACTTCAGCCAATACTACGACAATAAAGATAATGTAACTATTACAATGAATACATAACCACTTGATTAATATTGATTATCGACGAATTCATTTACATCATAAATGTTCATTAGGTGGACACAGGGAAGTAGAACTGAACAACCAATTTTTTACCAGTAATGGAAAAACATCTCTTGCTCCGACGGAAGTGTTGGTATCCGTTAAAGTGCCATTTAATCCTGTGGTAAGTAGGGTTTATGTAAAGGTTCAAGTTAATCTGTGGTAAGTAGGTTTTATGTAAAGGTGCCACTTAATCCTGTGGTAAGTAGGTTCTATGTAAAAGTGCCACTTAATCCTGTGGTAAGTAGGGTTCATGTAAAGGTTCCAGTTACTCTGTGGTAAGTAGGTTTTATGTAAAGATGCCACTTAATCATGTGGTAAGAAGGATTCAGGAAAAGAAGTTTCTGTAAAGAAGTAGTTAGGAATACCTTTGAAAAATTTATAGTAGAAATAGAATCAACATTGTTGTTAAGTTATTGTTGTGAATGCGATTTAAAGCGTTATCTAAATGTTTTAAAGAAACACATACATGTCATTGACGTTCTTCTGAAATAATCAAATGTAGGAGAATTAAGGATTTGAAAATTGTGAAAGTGCACCTCCCTATTTAGGTTCTTTTTTCATTTGTTTCTTTCATCTTGTTTTTCCTCTAGTCGCCTCCTAGGTTTCAAAATTTAGACACTTAACATCGATGTGACGTCCTAGAAGGACGAAACAGCTGTATGATGCAGTTAAATTCATTATTTGGCTTTAGTGCATCTACATCTAAATTCTTATTTAAGGCGCTATAGATTAGTGTTGTTTGTACAATTTTCGAGATTACAGGTGGTAGAAACTAGAGATTAGTCGTGACCTGTATGCAACAGTTTATTTATTCAACTAGTGGCACGAGATAAACAGTTAAATATTTAATCGAAGGAAGAAACAGCTGTATAATACAGTCTAATTTACAATTTCACTTGACTGTATGCAATTCTAATTTTGGATTAAAATTTGCTGTTCGCTTGTGTGTCTTTCTTAAAGATAAGAATGCGTCGAAACATAACAAGAGTTGAACTTTGTAAGCATTATTTTGATTAATATTATCCTTTCCGATATCTCCTACACATATATCTACAAGTGTTCCTCCTGTTTCAGAATACACATGTGGCGTACTATAAGCAGGCAAGTAGAAAGGGATTTAGCTATGCCCTATTAAATGGATGCTTCTCTGCCAGTTTGGATGGGCGTGGTTCCTTCAGAAACCTTGACCTTTGTTTCGGAACTGTGTTCGAAACAACAAGAAAATTGACCAAGTGTCCATCAATAGCTAATGGAAAGTAAGTAGACTCATCATTCCCGTTTGTTATACAAAAACGTCATATTTTATCATAGATATAACGTTCCAAGGTTGACGAAATTCAGAAAGGGTTTAGGAGATGATAATTTCGTTTTGTTTTAGTGCATCTGACATTATCGAGTTTGTATTTTTGTAGACTTTAACTTAACTCGAAGCAACACTGTTATGATTGATATATTTAACATATATTTCTATAGTTATCCCGACGACAGTACTCTTGGTTTGGTGTGTGATGAACTTAAACGCGAGCTCCAAGCTGAATCAAACGGTACTGTTAGCAGCTACAAGCAGAATCTGGCATGTGGGTTCGTGATCAAATTCTGGAGAGAGATACAAAACAAGCTTAATCATGTACGTAATATTAGGACAGGTACATGCAATATACAATGATTTAATTTGAAAGTTCAAAGTATTATGAATCTTTTTTAACGTAAAGTGCTGCGTTTCGTTTATTGCAAGTTTTTGGCTATTACTGGTAAACTCAAAGACCAACCTGTTGAACACCAAGTCCTTCTAGATAGCCTCACAGGTATGAAATATACTTTTGAATATTATTTAATTATATTCACAATATCAGAACAAAAGAGCGGATGCTAATGGTCTTACTTGGAAACCTTGCGAAGGACAACAAGTGTTTCAAGCGCCATCTCCCGGACAACCAGCACACGACGCAGTTGGGCGTTCTATTCCGTTGGTTTCTGCACCTGCACTTGTGACAGGACAGGCTATGTTTTTGGACGACATGCCACGATTTGAAAGTAAATAAACTCTAAGTACATACTAGCTTCAGTGCACTACTCAAGAGTCAGGAAACTCGTTACCTGTATGTAATTTCCTGACATTTAAACCCAAACACGTACCTCATGGTATCTCCATAGTTAAATTTCAACGAAAACAATTCGATTACGTTTCCTCAAAATGGCTGCACCTCTTGTTTTTAATGTTTTTTTTTCAAGTATTAATTCCTGTCTGTTCAAATCGCTCCAAATTTCAAGTATACTGAACTTGTTATTTTTTGTCTATATCATTGCACATGCATGATGTTCAACAAACCATTTTCTCCAGAAATTATGTAAGCAATTAATTTTATCATAATTTTATCATGGGACCTTGACAAAGAGTATAATGATTATTACTATGTGTTTGTTTGTTTGATAATTGAGAATACAGGTTTTATAGTACTCCATGTTATATCTCTGCCCGTTTCATGTTGTCACGTTTGTCCAGCTAATATTTCAGTGATATAGAGCTATGATTGCATCGATGAGTGGTAGAAGTTTGTGAGTGGTTGTGTGATAAAATCAAAACTGGCATACTGTTTATGTATATATTAAGCTGGAAAGATTATTGCCACGAATAACTGATAATTGGGATTACGTAAACATATTGCCACTTAAAATGCCCATTTGTATCAACTTGTTTCTAGTATTTCCATTTCTTTGAAATCGCGCACAACTATTTCGTGAACAGATAGAGCTAATTAAATCTATGTTACATCTTACAGTTAATTGAATATGAGTTTGTGGATTACAAGTACATACGGAAAAATGACCCCCATCCCTCCCCTACTCTTTCTCTAAAAAAGGAGAAAAATGTAACATTGACGAAACACTGTGATTTGAATTTTTGATGCTGAAGTTTGATATGTAATATTCAATGTACACAGATGAGCTGTACGTACAGCCAGTGTTTAGCACGAGAGCGCATGCGCGGATACTGTCCATAGACAAGAGCGTTGCTATGGCTTCACCAGGTGTTGTAGACTTCCTAGATGCGTCAACAGTTCCAGGCGAAAATAAATGGGGACTCTTTGCTCAGGACGAACCGTTGTTTGCAGAAAACGAAGTAAGTTGACGACTTGTTTTTCTCTTAGTCTTTGGGCGAAAGTATTGTATTCAGATAATTATGTTCAATACTTCTGTGTAGTTGAAAAGTCCAATCTTAGTAGACTTCAGGAAATAGATCTGTATACTTCAGGGAATAGCTCTGTACACTTCAGGGAATAGTTCTACACATTTCAGGGAATAGCTCTGTACACTTCAGGGAATAGTTCTACAAACTTCAGGGAATAGCTCTAAACATTGCAGGGAATAGTTCTATATACTTCAGGGAATAGTTCTATATACTTCAGGGAAGAGCTCTATATACTTCAGGGAATAGCTCTATACACTTCAGGGAATAGCTCTCTACACTTCGGGGAATAGTTCTGTACACTTCAGGGAATAGTTCTGTACACTTCAGGGAATAGTTCTATATACTTCAGGGAATAGCTCTGTACACTTCAGGGAATAGTTATGTATACTTCAGGGAATAGTTCTATATACTTCAGGGAATAGTTCTATATACTTCAGGGAAGAGTTCTATATACTTCAGGGAATAGTTCTATATACTTCAGGGAATAGCTCTGTACACTTCAGGGAATAGTTCTATACACTTCAGGGAATAGTTCTATATACTTCAGGGAATAGTTCTATATACTTCAAGGAAAAGTTCTGTACACTTCAGGAAATAGCTCTGTACACTTCAGGGAATAGTTCTATATACTTCAGGGAATAGTTCTATACACTTCAGGGAATAGTTCTATACACTTCAGGGAATAGTTCTATATACTTCAGGGAATAGTTCTATACACTTCAGGGAATAGCTCTGTACACTTCAGGGAATAGTTCTATATACTTCAAGGAATAGCTCTGTACACTTCAGGGAATAGTTCTATATACTTCAGGGAATAGTTCTATATACTTCAGGGAATAGCTCTGTACACTTCAGGGAATAGCTCTGTACACTTCAGGGAATAGCTCTGTACACTTCACGGAATAGTTCTATATACTTCAGGGAATAGCTCTGTACACTTCAGGGAATAGTTCTATATCCTTCAGGGAATAGTTCTATACACTTCAGGGAATAGCTCTGTACACTTCAGGGAATAGCTCTGTACACTTCAGGGAATAGTTCTATATACTTCAGGGAATAGCTCTGTACACTTCAGGGAATAGCTCTGTACACTTCAGGGAATAGTTCTATATACTTCAGGGAATAGTTCTATACACTTCAGGGAATAGCTCTGTACACTTCAGGGAATAGTTCTATATACTTCAGGGAATAGCTCTGTACACACTTCAGGGAATAGTTCTATATACTTCAGGGAATAGCTCTGTACACTTCAGGGAATAGCTCTGTACACTTCAGGGAATAGTTCTATATACTTCAGGGAATAGTTCTATATACTTCAGGGAATAGTTCTATATACTTCAGGGAATAGCTCTGTACACTTCAGGGAATAGCTCTGTACACACTTCTGGGAATAGTTCTATACACTTCAGGGAATAGCTCTGTGTACTTCAGGGAATATTTCTACACACTTCAGGGAATAGTTCTATACACTTCAGGGAATAGTTCTATACACTTCAGGGAATAGTTCTATACACTTCAGGGAATAGTTCTATATACTTCAGGGAATAGTTCTATATACTTCAGGGAATAGTTCTATACACTTCAGGGAATAGTTCTATATACTTCAGGGAATAGTTCTATACACTTCAGGGAATAGTTCTATACACTTCAGGGAATAGTTCTATACACTTCAGGGAATAGTTCTATACACTTCAGGGAATAGTTCTATACACTTCAGGGAATAGTTCTATATACTTCAGGGAATAGTTCTATATACTTCAGGGAATAGCTCTATATACTTCAGGGAATAGTTCTATATACTTCAGGGAATAGTTCTATATACTTCAGGGAATAGCTCTATATACTTCAGGGAATAGTTCTATATACTTCAGGGAATAGCTCTGTACACTTCAGGGAATAGTTCTATACAATGCAGGGAATAGCTCTATATACTTCAGGGAATAGTTCTATATACTTCAGGGAATAGTTCTATATACTTCAGGGAATAGTTCTATATACTTCAGGGAATAGCTTAATTCACTTCAGGGAATAGCTCTGTACACTTCAGGGAATAGCTCTGTACTCTTCAGACAAGACTTCTATACATTTCAGAAAGTAGTCCTATTAGTCTCTAATCATTGTTTATTGACGTGGGTAAAACGATAACCACATATTTGTATATAAAGTTGAAAACGTTGAGTTGAACAAGAAATGGGATTAAGTATTTGATACATGAACTTTCAAAAGCGCGTAATAATTTCGCATAAATACGGAGTTGATAGCCACAATCATACATGGATTAAAATTATATAGTTAAAATGTTTCACATACCCGGTATCTTTGTGGGTGGAAATGTTTAACATACCCGGTATCTTTATGGATGGAAATGTTTCACATACCCGGTATCTTTGTGGATGGAAATGTTTCACATACCCGGTATCTTTGTGGATGGAAAAGTTTCACATACTCGGGTATCTTTGTGGATGGAAATGTTTCACATACCCAGTATCTTTGTGGATGGAAATGTTTCACATACCCGATATCTTTGTGGATGGAAATGTTTCACATACGCGGTATCTTTATGGGTGGAAATGTTTCACATACCCGGTATCTTTGTGGATGGAAATGTTTCACATACCCGGTATCTTTGTGGATGGAAATGTTTCACATACTCGGTATCTTTGTGGATGGAAATATTTCACATACACAGTATCTTTGTGGATGGAAATGATTCACATACCCAGTATCTTTGGTGATGGAAATGTTTCACATACCCGGTATCTTTTTGGATAGAAATGTTTCACATATCCGGTATCTTTGTGGATGGAAATGTTTCACATACCCGGTATCTTTGTGGGTGGAAATGTTTCACATACCCAGTATCTTTGTGGATGGAAATGTTTCACATACCCGATATCTTTGTGGATGGAAATGTTTCACATACGCGGTATCTTTGTGGATGAAAATGTTTCACATACCCGGTATCTTTGTGGATGGAAATGTTTCACATACCCAGTATCTTTGTGGATGGAAATGTTTCACATACTCGGTATCTTTGTGGATGGAAATATTTCACATACACAGTATCTTTGTGGATGGAAATGATTCACATACCCAGTATCTTTGGTGATGGAAATGTTTCACATACCCGGTATCTTTTTGGATAGAAATGTTTCACATATCCGGTATCTTTGTGGATGGAAATGTTTCACATACCCGGTATCTTTGTGGGTGGAAATGTTTAACATACCCGGTATCTTTATGGATGGAAATGTTTCACATACCCGGTATCTTTGTGGATGGAAATGTTTCACATACCCGGTATCTTTGTGGATGGAAAAGTTTCACATACTCGGGTATCTTTGTGGATGGAAATGTTTCACATACCCAGTATCTTTGTGGATGGAAATGTTTCACATACCCGATATCTTTGTGGATGGAAATGTTTCACATACCCAGTATCTTTGTGGATGGAAATGTTTCACATACGCGGTATCTTTGTGGATGGAAATGTTTCACATACCCGGTATCTTTGTGGATGGAAATGTTTCACATAGTCGGTATCTTTGTGGATGGAAATATTTCACATACACAGTATCTTTGTGGATGGAAATGATTCACATACCCAGTATCTTTGGTGATGGAAATGTTTCACATACCCGGTATCTTTTTGGATAGAAATGTTTCACATATCCGGTATCTTTGTGGATGGAAATGTTTCACATACCCGGACTGTTTGTGGATGGACTGGTGGCTTACTAAAAACCTTGCACGTTTAAATCTTCAGTATATGTTATATTACATAATTTGTGTTGATTTGATTCAGCAAAACATAAATTCTGCAAAAAGGAAACGTTCTTACATCACAAAGATTTTGTTATTGATAAATATGTATGTATAACATTTTTATAAGTTAATGCCATTATTGTTGGTTACTGGATTGGAAAATGTAACACCTATATAGCAAGTCTTAATATTCTGGAAATAAGAAAAAATATTTCAAAATATCAATATTAAAGTCATCAGTGAAATTATATTTTTTTCATAACAGGTGTTTTGTGTTGGTCAAGTTGTATGTGCAATCGTAGCTACATCAGAACACTATGCTAAGACGGCAGCAGACCTTGTGAAGATCATGTATCTAGATCTACCCAACATTACCACAATGGAGGTATATATGTATATATATATATATACACTGTAGTGATAAACCATCTATTTTCGCGGGAATAAATTCCCATGTGTTATTACGTCGGTACCTGAAAACAAAGAAAATACTAACATGTCAACAGAATTACAAAGTTTTTGGTGTTTATTAGTATGCCTGGTGGTTCCGTTACTGTTTACCTTGTTCTCATTTGGGAACGTGACATTACTTTCTTGCACTGATCAAAATTTTCATGGCGAGTATCGTTAATGAACCAGAAAACGCTTACCCTTCAGGAACATCCGATCACATTCTCATAGTACGTTTAAGGCGTCTCCCTGCAAGTCTTGTTTATGTTAAACTTTGCCCTAGTTTTATTGAATTCAAGTGTGGAAATTGTACTTATGTTGATATTTTCGTTTCCTTTTTTTTCAAAGGCACAGATATATATCTTTTTTTTTAATTAAAAACAACTTATGGACTGAAAGTGATCGATTAATTATTACATATATTTCCTTTATTTGTTACATGAACGCATTTAAGTTCTCTGTGATACAAAGTAGAAAGAGCATATCAAATAGGTCAGTACGTCGATATAAGCAGAAGTTAAGTGTTGTGTTTGTGTCAAAAGACAATATAAGTTTTTATACCAATTTAATTTTAAAGTTTGACCTATATTTTTATTTAAAGAGTTTAAGTGTCAGAAGACTGAATTTTCTTGCCATAAAAATATTTGCATTGAAGCAGCAGACGAGGGAATGTGTTTACTTACAGTGTAGTTCACAACATTTGAATCTTTATCATTTTAAAGCTTAATCTATATAACTATTTTAGGAAGCTATTGCAGCCGATTCCTATTTTGACTATACCTCACACCCAATAGACTGTGGAGACCCAGACAAACAGTTCCCACTCTGTGACTTTGTGAAAGAGGGACAGGTGCGTTCGGGTTTCCAGGAACATTTCTATTTAGAGCCAAGCGGAGCAGTTGTTGTACCGAAAAATGAATTGGGAGAAATTGAAATATTTACCACATCACAAGCACCAACTTTCTGCCAGGTAATCATTTTGTATCCTATTCATTTTTTTCAAAATTAATTTATGTTTATGATTACAACAAGAATAGTTCTTCTCAATTATACTAAAGTTATCATTGATACATAATGGAGATTTACAACAGATATGGAGCTTCATCTACATATTCATATTACACACGTTTCTAATAACTTTAAGAAGACATTGCATTCATTTAGCTATGACTGCATTACTTTTGTAACTCATACTGATTTTCTAGGAATGTCATTAGTACTGGTAATACTTATATATGCCAGCTATTAGAAATTTTTATATATACTATGCAACACACATCTGTTAATGGCGAATCCAAGTAAATGCGAAATATTCAGCTGAAATCCTACGGCAACACTATTGAAAAAAGCACAATATGTGATAGACATTAATTCCGGAACTAGTAGATCGCAGATGCATTATAAATGTGATTTCTTAATATTTCATATAAAACAGCCTAATTGTACTCATGGTTCGAAAGGGAGTGGGGTATGCAAGATCTCCTATGAGAAGACAACTTAGTGTTCAGACGCTGAACCCTGGGCGCTTCAACCCTGACGGCCTAAAAATATACAAGTCGATATCCATGGATGAATATCAATATATACCTTTAATTGCTGAAGGAATAAAATTGGCTTTCCTAACATGAAAAACAACTCATATCGAGATAATTAGCAACAACGGATGTTAAAAGATGATGTAGTTATTGATATATAAAGTTTTTATATCAATTACAGACAGCTATTTCACCCATTAGGAAATGACGGTATTTCATTGACGATATGGATACTATTACAATTACGCACCTTGGACACCTAAGACATGTTTCATGAATATATGGCCAGATTAATGCTTATTAATGGAACCAATTTATACCCATACTTGCGTATTCCAGACCAGTAGGTTTGAACTCAGAACAACGTCAAATGCTAATTATATATAACTAAAGGATTTAAAAGATACAAAAATAAAGCAGATTTCGTAAATGTTTAATCAGTACTGTAGAATATACATGTTTAAATATATTTTCTTTATCAATTAAGTTTTCGGATTAGAAATTAATTTCCGTTTTCTTTTACAAATACTTCTATAACATCATCTAATTTTGACAGACATCAGCTTCTCAGATTCTTGGTATACCAAGGAACAGAATTGTCGTCAGACAGAAGAGACTGGGTGAGTGTTAGAATATTCACCCTATCGTAACGTTAAGATACACAATGCCAAAGATTACATTTAAACATAGCCGAGAGTGTCCCTAATTTTCCTGACGTGTCCGCGAAGAAGGTAAAAAATGGAATAGCACCAAACAGTTCCTGCTACGTCATACAGCTGTTCTGTCCTTCTGGGACTCGTCCATAATGCTACGTTATACAGCTGTTCTGTCCTTCTGGGACTCGTCAATAATGCTTCGTTATACAGTTGTTCTGTCCTTCTGGGACTCGTCAATAATGCTACGTTATACAGCTGTTTCGTCCTTCTGGGACTCGTCAATAATGCTACGTTATACAGCTGTTTCGTCCTTCTAGGACTCGTCAGTGATGCTAAGAGCCTAAACTTTGAAGCCTATGAGACGATTTAAGAAAATGCAAAGTTATAGACCCACTAGACGGGAATGTGTGCTAAACCCACAATTTAATTAATTTCTTAATTTTCATATATCATATATAATTTTAGAACAACGTCAAGAACGTGTATATTCTGAACCGTGTCACTATTCCCAGAAGGACGAAACAGTTGATACAAGTATTTTACAGTAATTGGCTCTACAGTATCGAACATTAAATCCATATTGAAAGTTTTTTTTTCACTTGTTTGTCTTTTGTACAATCTTAAAGCTTCGATTCCTCTGATATGATAGAAAAGATGTCCCTATGTGACATGTAATATATAGTTTTAGTAAAATATAGTTTTCCCTATAATTTACTAGATACGACATCATGACAAGTTCCATGTGTGGTTTGCGTTAAGTCTATTCTTTTGTATTTTGTGTAATTGTCATTTTGTATTTGTTGTTGTTTTTCCAAGTTTTATTTTAATAAAGATTTTTCGATTTTGATTTTCTTTTTGCCCCGTTAAACATCGCTTAATATCATTTTAACTTAATTTCCATATTAAAGGTGGCGGATTTGGAGGAAGAGAGTATCGCACCCCTCTTATGTTTGGCGCAGCCGCAGTAGCAGCACAGAGGTAAAACAGATATCCAGACATGAACACTATTTGTATAAAATGTTGAGACAGCATAGGGCAAAGATGAAATGTATTACAAATAAATCACGAAGTGGTTTATGCAAAGAACTGTCTGTTCTGTTTTGTGTGTAATGGCTCAATGACTTGAAAGATAATTAATGTTCATCATGATAACTTAATAACATACTGCAATATGTTTTACATTTATAACGAACTATCTCCTTACACTGCCACATTGACCAATCATACGTGACGTTACAATATGACGACGATTTTTTTGATTGGGTGGTACCATGAAAAAGTGGCCAATGAAAAATACTTGTTCCACAAATGATTAAATTAATTATTAATCACTGAAGCGAGTAAGTGATACATTTATGTGCATAGATAATAATACAAACGATGTTAAGTAACGTCATAAGCATTCCAGCTTATATTTCAATGTCCTATCAATGTGAATGTGTTGTGTGTTTGTGTTGGGGAGGCTGCGGTATTTCGTGAAAGCTGCTTAGCGAAAATGCGAAACTGGCCCGAATTTATTGCGCTGACACACCGCTGCAGCCCGACTTGGTAACGTTATGTTGACAATGGACAAACCAATCACAATGCTGAACGTTAATCAGGAAGTAGTGTTAACCATATCTAAAGACTCTGGTATGTGTCGGCAAGGGGTCCGGACCAAAATCCTTTCTCCTTCTCACTCAACTAAAGACTAAACCTGAGAAATCGTCAAGAGTGAAATTAGGGGCTAGAAAGATTTTTAGAGAGGAGTGAAGATATATATTCAAGTTTAGTAGACTCTTACGATCATTCAATGGTGACAACTGGTAAATTTCTCACTCCCTACCTGCAACATAAGCAATTGCAGTAGATGATTATAGGCAAAGACCTCAATGTTTGAATGATGGACAGGCAGGACGTTGTCAAACTTACATATGGTTATAATAAAATGTCTATGAGTTTTTATATCTTGTTTAACATATCAAAACCTCCCAGGAAATCTACAAAACCACAAAAGTTAAGAAAATAAACATTTTGTTCTTTTCATCGCCGATACTCCAGATATAACATTATCAAGAAAGCTAGTCCCTTGATAACATACCGGAAGTGACAGATGAATGTGACTAATCGTACAATAACCATATATATCATGATGTGTTTAACGTTGTTATTTCGCAGGTTGGGAAAGCCAGTGCGAATGATCATGGATAGAAAGACAGATTTCCAAACCACCGGCAAACGTCATCCATTTTTGTCAAAATATAAGGTAGTGTAATTAAAATACCTTTTTAAAAGTAAAATTAATAAAAAAAAAACTGTAAAAGTTTGTGTCGGATCTGAAACTCCTTCAAATTTGAATCGCAATTATCTGAGGATCCATAGCTTGTTATTTTTTTTTATTAAACGAGATAATGTATGACATGCAATAACTGGTGTTTAAGAGGATGGTACGAACGACACACAAGTGAATAACATCTTGTAGTAATTTAGCGTTAGATACAGCAGAACCAATAAAGAAACTGCATCAGACTGCGGATTCGTCCTTCTAGGACCCGTCAGTGATGCTAAGGGCCCAAAATTTAAAGCCTAGAAGGCGACTAAGGAAAACCCAAAGTTATCGAAAAAAGGTCAAAATCTAGGGATGTGCTCTAGACCCATGCTTAAACACATTTCGTAATTTTCATATATCAGACAATGTCAGAATAGTGCATTTATATTCTGAACCGGGCCACTGTTCGAATGAATTAAAACTTAGCATGCAGGTTACAGCAAACCTCGAGGTCAATGATTATCTTTCATACTCATTTATGTGATGGGGTATAATCCAGTATTTGTTATATCCCATATTTAAATAGAAGTTTGCAGTTTGAAAGGTGTTTATACACGTGTGTGTTTCACACAATCCTTAAAAAGGCGTGACGAATCGCCCAAGGATGATATTGTTTTATCTATATACGATGAGATAAGGTATGGACACGAGATCACTGGAGGAAAACAGTATTCTCTGTAATGTGTTGTATGTAATATATAGCCATACTATGTAAGCGTTGCCGAAGTGTTAACATCCCGTTGGATACGTATTTTACATGCGAAATTATGACAACGGACATGTCCACTATTTCAAATAATTAAAAAAAGACCGTGTCCCGTCTTCTTGTCTGTCACATGATGCCAACGTGATGGTTACAATGAAAAACGACTATCCTTCAGTCTCAATACTATGAGGTGTTTCTGTATGATGCAAATTAACATTACGTGTAACCATGAAAATTTCAGTTAATAATATGCTATTGAGAAGTAACATTTACATCATTTGATATCTTTATCAATGTTCTATAGTTTGTACATTTCATATTGTTATTCCTTTTGTGCGCCTTTAAGACTTTGTGCTAATCTACCATGTTTTAAGATAACACTATGATGTGTTACGCAGGCTGGTTTCCGGTATGACGGGACGCTGGAAGCCGTATCAATTCACTTCTACATCAACGCTGGTTATACATTGGACGTATCGGCCGCGGTAAGCCTTCAACCACATCGATAACGAATTAATCAATTGGCATAACAATCAACTTAAAAAGCTGTCAAAATGTAACTTTCCCGAGTGGCATGATGCTCCTCAAAATAGAAAAATCTAATATGAATACTGAAGATGTTTTATCAAATAACTGAGAAAGGTTGAGTTTTAATTGGTTTTAAATCCAAAATATGGATTCAAATTCATAATGAAACGTAGGCAGTCATTTTGTTATGCCATTTTCAATTCATGACCCAACGTCATTGTCCATACTATCATATAATAATTGATATCTGATGTGTACAGCCATTGGAAAATGCTACAGAGTAAATCACACCAGTGACACATGTTAGAATATTACATGGGCGAATTTACCGGATAAAAGTTCGATAGTATGATAAGAAAGGTATATGTGATGAATATAAATGGCGACCAGTTCACAGAAGTGCTTTCTTCTTAGTAGAATAATATTACTGGCGTATACAGTTTGTTTTGCTGTTGTCCTAAAGGCAATATCTGTGGGCACTTTCCTAGTGCTTCATTTCTGCTTTGTTACCGTTGTTGAAAACAATGATATAAATGATATCATAATACTCGTATTTTTAAAGTGCGTGAGATCGTCTCTCTATATTAAGATGACAAATTATCTTGAACAATGATATAAGCAGTTCCAATTTTTTCACACGCTATATAAAACTAGGTCAATCCAATGTCACGTTCTGAAATGAGAACAGTGAATACAAAAACGGAATCAACAGGCAAACCAACGAGCATCAAACACGTCTATCTTCATATCACACACAAACTAGAACGTTTCCAACTATCACAACTGTTAAACTTCCCCGTGATATTTATCAAAGTCTGTTAACTAATTAAAACCAAGCCATCACCTTCGTTGGCATCTAGAAACATAAAGATAACTAAAATCCTTTTGTTAAGCAGTTTGGAGATCTTGTAGACAACCTCTACGAATGACTAACTGGGAAAGAACAATATATATATATATATATATATATATATATATATCCAGAAAATAATAAGACTGTTTTGACTATCTTAGATATAGTAATAGTATTAAGTACACAATATATTTGGTGAAAGATGAAGTGTTACAACTAAGAAAGGGAACAATGCATGTTTTATTTGTTATGTGCAAACCAATATCAGCATCATGTTTCAGATCATGGATAATGCATGTTTCAACGTCGACGCAGCATATAAAACGCCAGTTTTTTCTGTGTATGGACACGTGTGTAAGACAAACACACCCTCCAACACCTCCATGAGAGCATTCGGTGCGGCGGAAGCGGTTTTTGTCATGGAAGCCATCATGTGTACTGTAGCGGACACAGTCGGACTCGATCAGGAATATGTATGTATAGTTACATGTACTTATTTATTTTCTCCTTCACACGATAGAGGGGAGGTAACTTGTATTTTATCAGAAAACAAATGATATTAGAGCTTTGGGCCACGTAATCTCATACCTCTCGATGTGGGTGAAGATTTGTTTCTACTAGGAAGCTGAAAAACGGGCCGGTCTGTGCAGTTGTGGGTGTGTCCTTGGCCTCGGGAAAGAAACTGGTTGTTCTAGATTACATGCGACGGGCCTCCCGTATGTTGTCCCGGCAGGAAATAGACGATAAACCAAACAAACAAACAAATCAAGTTACTATCTTTATGTCTATAACGAATATAATTGAAGATGCTACAGAATTACCATGACCAGAAAGTGTGAATAAAATACTCTGATAAATAAAACAGTTGAATGCAGTTCAAAACGAACGTTATCCTCGCCAGCTTTCATTTGTTTTAATTACAGGTACGCCAACTTAATATGTACAAAGAAGGCAGCATCAATCACTACAAACGAAAGCTAGAAAATTGTATGTTACAACGTTGTTGGCGAGATTGTATAACGCAAAGCAAATTCGAGGAAAGGTCGAAAGCAGTCTCTCTTTACAATAGGTACTGTTATATCGCAATTATTATTCCCAATGATTTTCTTCATTACCAATGTCCTCTTGGTGTTGAACTCATTTAAAATAATTAGTAAACCCAATTAGTATTAAAACAACGTTTGTTTTCTTTTTAAAGAAATTTGGATAGTCTGTATGTATTTGAAACAGAATAGTTCAAATTGGATAATAATAAGCGCTATATTTACTGATGTGTTGATCTGCAATCCAAAGGTAGCAATGTCATCAAGCATTTAATTATTTCAAAATAACCCAAACATTATTCATGTAATGGAATGTGTATGTGATGTAAGTAACATATACCATGTCGTATTATCATACGCTTTTTACATATTTTTTATATAAGCTCATAATTATACACTCGGCAATGAAGCTGGAGGCGTGCGGAAGGTGGGTTATACTAGAACCGCCCTGTCAATATCGTCTGAAAATCTTTCCTTAATTCCTCCTTAACGATTTTGTATTTAACTTCAAAGGGTATTAAAACTCCTAAACACCTTTGTTATATGGTTTCCATGGAAATCAAATAAGACATGATCAGAGAATTCTTGTCCAGACATTTAAACATAAGAACCAGATGTAATCAAAATATACAGATATTTCATGTAGATGTGCATACAGTGTTTTTCGTTTTTGTAAGCGGCTCAATATATATTTGTATCGGTGTAATGGCTCATAGTTCGCTCATACGTCCTTGGAACAATTGTTTTCAATCTTGGCTGGTTTTATCAAAGCTTGTGACTTAACACATTTGATGTTACATTGGAAACAGAATGAAGTTCCTGGTTGGCCAAAATTGGGGAACAAGTGATGACAATTAAAGTTGTACTATTTTCTAAAACTTTCTTCTCATTTGTTTGCCATGGTAACCAAATGAAGACCTTTTTTGTTTCTACGGGATGGAGATTCAAGTTAACCTCAGGATGGCAGTTCTAGTAAATGCCTTCTGAAGGATTATTCATTGGAAAGTAGAATAGTTTGCATTATAACAGCATACCTTTGGAAAAATGATGTCACTTGATAAAAAATTCAGGTAAAAAAACTATTAAGACTTCAAAATATTTTGAGAAAAAATATTGTTTTCAGCAATTTATATAACAAATCCTGGTAAAATGATAAAACAAACAAACATTCGACAGAGGCTTTGTAAAAGTTATGATACTCATTAACAGCCAGAACAAGTTCAAGAAGAAAGGGATTGCGGTGATGCCACTGAAATTTGGGGTTGGATATCCAGTCCGACATTTAAACCAGGTACGAACACTCATTTCAAGAGAGATATCACAAGAATTACGTTAACAAGCAATTGAAATCTATTGAGCTACAATCTTTCATTTTTTTCATCCTAGAAGCTCAATTCTGCATTTCCTTTTTGATTTATCAAACGCTTATCTTTAACGTGTTGAAGGGAGCTGCGCTTGTGAACATCTATCTTGATGGATCTATCACTATAGCACACGGAGGCGTGGAGATGGGACAAGGCCTACACACAAAGATGATACAGGTGCGTATCATTGATGCAAATTGTCAAAGGTTTCGTGGTTTACCCTAGGCCTGAAGGACACTGGATATATTTTCCACTAAACTTATGAAATAATTCAGAAACGCTTCACCCCTTTAAATTATATCGTCTTCGTTTAATCGAGTCGTGTTATATTTTTCTGTTTCGATATCGAGAAGTAAACAGTATCGCCCTTGAAATTAAGAGACTAAAACAGACAGCTCGAAGTTTATAACTGATATTTTTGCTATCTTTCATACAAGGAAAATATCTTATTACTTGGAAGGATAATAGAGTTTTCTAAGATTAAAGAAAATACAAAATCGCAGATAGTAACGATATGTATCTCATTGATCTGACATTAGCTGGAAAAAAGTACTGTTGAAAAGACTGGAAACTGTTCCTTTTTAACAAAGTTTCTGGTAGTGCATTATGTTGTTGTCATTTGTTCTATATAGGTGGCATCCAGAGCTCTCGAAGTACCTATCGAAAATATTCATATCAGTGAGACAGGAACAAATACATGTCCAAATACTACCTCAACAGCGGCCAGCTTATCCTCAGACATTAACGGAGCGGCCGTACTGGTCAGTTTTAAAGGAGTATAACAACTACATGAATTTAAACGGCATCGCATTGAAGAAAAGTTAAATAGTAAATGATAATGATATTGCATAATACCAAAGAGTTGTACACATATAATTCTCAATTTGTTCAAACATTTTATTCAAACTTCACATGGCATATGTATTTTTATCTGTCGCTATTGAAATTGGTGATCATTCAACCTTGTAGGAAACCAGCAGTTCTTTTGGATACACTCCTCATTTCATAATAAGCAAAGACATAACAAAATAGTGTTGTTTGTCACGATGATTCTACTGAATCTGATTTTACATTTGTATCAACATAAATTGTTCCCTTGTGCGTCATTTGTACAATCTTCGAGATTGCAGATGCTAGACACTACTGGTGGACTTTTAGTCCCGGAGGTGTATCGTAACCTAATTGAAACGTTTAATTTCTTTCGGATAGTGGCACGGTTCACATGTAATTGACGTTGACATTACCCGATTTAATAGATATTACAAATGTGTTGAAGTACGGGGCTAGTGCACTACTTTCTCTCTTTTGACATTTCTTCGATCAAAGTCGATATCCTCCATGGCCTAAGTTTCACAATTGAGGCCCTTAGGATCAATGACAAGTCCTAGAATGATGAAACAGCTGTATGGTACTTTTTGATTAATGATATGGTTCTATGGTATCTTATTCTAAATTTGTATTGAAAGGTTACTTTCACTCGTGTTATTTGTATAGTCTTTACGTTTGGTTGTGTACCAGTGGGACGTATAAGGTTAGATATATGTATTAGTTTAGATCTTTAGAGAAGGACGAACGTTAAACGTGCTTCCTGTTAGGTTTGCAAGAAGTTATATCGATCTATTTACCTAAATGAAATTTTGATTTTTATTGAAATGTTATCCATTGTTTCTTTTGTTTGACATGCGCGTGCAAAAATATTGATCTTATATACATGTACAGTAAGTAAACATTACATTATGTCCTCGTGTATAGATGATAACATATTAATGAAAGATGCTATTATAGAAATATAATCGATAATTTCCATTGTTCAATAGGATGCATGCAATAAGATCAACAACAGATTGCGACCATACAAACAGAAGATCCCAACAGGACAATGGACGGATTGGGTAGGTGTATACAAATGTATATACAATACTTGCATATTGTAACCTTCAAAACATTTTAGTCGGTCAATTATGACCTGTATTTATGTGTTTTCAATATATACATTTTCCATGTAGAGCAACACAGGTCAGATTTGAAGAATATTTTTTGACATCAAGTGATTTACTGTTACAGGTCAATGCTGCTTACATGGACAGAGTTAGTCTATCCGCCACTGGAATAGGACGGTATGTATCACGTGGTTTACGACAAGAATCACTTGCTTATGGTGGTACAAATAGCGATTGATTAAAAAAGCACATTCCGATATAAATTAATAGTTTGTCGATAATTGCCGAATTGCACAATACATTTTTTTGCGTCCTTCAAGGACATGTCAGTGGTTCTGGTGTCTTAAGATGTAGAAGTATAGATCGCGCGTGATCGAAGGAATGTTTTGTATACATATATACAATTGAACCTCGTTAACACGAACTCGTATAACTCAAATACTCTGTATAATTTGAAGTATTGTGTCTGTCCAGGCCAAACTTCAAACCAAACATTTCATTACTTAAATCGAATACCCAGATAACACGAAGATTTCTCACGGTCCCACCGACTTCGAGATAACAAGGTTCGACTGTAATGTATTATAATTTTTATGTTTTTATGTTTTATGAATGTGTTATGACGATTGTTTAAACACACAAAGGCCTGGTAACCAGCATTGGGACTTTGAGAAAGGCGTGGGCAACCCTGTCCACTACTACACGTTCGGGGCAGCCTGTACTGAAGTGGAGATTGATTGCTTAACAGGGGAACACCAGGTAATCAACTTAATGTCTGATCATGCCTATGTCAAGAAAACAAATGTTCACTACAGCGATGTGGATCAAAAGGAAAGAAATATGAAATTTCAGGTGGAGACGCAACGTATCAAAGTAAAAAAAAAAAAAAAAAAACACTTGCCGTTCTTTGCTTATTTTATATACATACATCATATAAATCATGATATGTATCACGCTGTCAAGAAGAAAACTGGGGAAAATTGTCGACAAAATCACCATGTACACTTATAATATCCTGATTGATAGCACTAAGAAATTAAGATCAACTTCAGCGTAGTCTTCATCTACATGTATATGCTAGTCTCCATAGTTGCCAGAGCTTTCGTAACAAAAAGAGCGACAGGCGGCCATTTTGGATTTTTACTTTGCAAGTTTGTTGTCGCTATTTCATGAGATCTTCAGCATAGATCCTTATCAAGTTTCATGATAGGTTCCTCTTTGTACCTAGTTGTGCCTATTTGAGTTTGGGGCTGATCCAAAAAATAAAATGGTCGACAGCCAACGATCTATGATTGTTATCCCTATTTCTTAAGAAGTACTGAATGGATGTCTATCAAATTTCAAAGTTCTCTCTAGTCTTTACTTGTGCCAGATTGATTTTGAGACTGATCAGAATAAACAAAATGGCTCTCAGGCGACTATATTGGAATTGGCAGGTAAAGATTATCATTGCTATTTCTGCAAAAGAATGAACAAATTTACTATCACTGAGACCAAAAACAGAGAAGAAAAGAGAAAAATGGGAAAAGATATACTTTCAAAGAGCAAATAAAGATCAAACAACGTTTGGCGCTAAGATCCCTCTGGGATCTCTTGTTGAATCTGAGGTTACATCATGATTATGTTGACATGTTGGTATTCTTTAGATAGCACGATCAAGGTAAAGAAACAGTGATATCAATAAATTGTACATTCTCTTTCGAAATAATAATAAATGGGCAAACGTGAAGTAAACCACGAAAATTCTTTAACGTACAAATGTACAATTAGAATAATGAGACCTCGTGTTGCCGACGGATAAAGAAAACGCTAGGTCACGGTCACCAATTTCTTTAATTGAATGTGAGAGATATTGCTATGCTCATCGGTTATTCATGTATGCTTCTTGTTAATATTATTTCAATATTTTGTCACACACATGATTTCTTATTATACAAGAAACCAATTTATATTAAAGGTACTGGACACAGAAATCGTTATTGATATAGGGAACAGTTTGAACCCCAGTCTTGATGTCGGGCAGATTGAAGGCGGGTTTGTGCAGGTAAATATAGAAGTTAATCTCATAGTTGTCTTTAAGATAGTTTTGCCGAAAAGAAATGACAACAATTATATTTTGATAGCAGATGAAATAACAGATATACTAAAAAGAAGGAGATACGGGGAAGAATGAAATAAAAATAATTCGAATCGTAATATACAAGAAAAGAGAACAGTTTAGTTCACGTAAATGTCATTGCCAAAGAAGCATGTCTGAATAATGATTTTGGCATTTTCACATGCAATGGACATTGGCTTTGAATTAATATTTGTGATGATAGTTATTTGATATATACATTACAATACACTTATTGATTTATTAATAATATCTCCAAACTATGATCATTGGTTAATTCTAAACTCTTATAAACTGTGACGTCATTATGTTACTTTTTCAGGGATATGGATGGGTAACAATGGAAGAATTGAAATTCTCGTCTAAAGGTGAAACCCTGGCATGTGGTCCGGTAGATTACAAACTTCCGGGTATCAGGAATATTCCTCGCCGCATGAAAGTTTCTATACTGAAAGATTGTCCCAACAAGGGTACCGTGTATTCCTCAAAGGTGAAACACTTTTTTAATCCTTTTATTCTATTATTTATCATATCGTAAGAAAAATAAAATAATTTATACGATTTCATTTGTGAATGAACTTGAAATTCGAGTGCGTAATGTTTTTGATGAGGACGTGTTTATTTGACAAATCTGATCAAATGTATTGTCATTAATATTACACATTTATTACGATTTATTACAGGGGGTAGGCGAACCTCCACTTCTCCTGGCAATATCAGTCTATATAGCGATGCGGAAAGCAATCCAAGCTTGCAGGGCGGACGCAGGACTTACTGATGCATTTGACCTCGATATTCCATTAACTGCCGAAAACATTCGGATGGCCTGTCCGATTGAAATTCCAACAGGCAAATTTGCTTCGTAAACATCCGAAAGAGCAAAAATTCGTATGAGGTTCTAATGAAAATACTTTGACATTAGATAAAAAAACTTCTATAGGATGAAAATCGTAAGAGGGACCGATTTATGTACTTATATTTTGAATTTTACAAATGATGTAATGAAATCAACATCGATGAAAGAAAATATTAAGTTGGTAATGTAAGGAATGTATTTGTGATAAAATTATCTCGCGATAATCTGATATATTGATATATATTTGTATCATACATGAAATATACGTGACATCACAGACCATAATATTGCTGTTTCGTCTCTTACTATAGAATCATTAAATTTGTCTTGGGTTCTTTTAATCCACGAAATTTTGTTTACAAGCCTCCACGAAGAAGTATTTCTCTTAAACTACGGAATTTGATCCCCACGAAAAATAAATAATTTAACAGCATTTTGTTGTACATATTCATTTCAGTAATTAATCATGAATATTTATGTTATCTAATGTAACCTTAATTCATGGAAATTTGTTCGTTTCCCTTATAAAAATCCTCAAATTTTCGGATGATGCCGTTTCCCTTATTAGTGATGCAACTGCAGCTGACGACTAGGATTAATGACGGCGAGACAATATTAGAAGAACTTGTGACAAGAATTGTCGAGTTGTATAAGTTAAAGAAAAAAATTGATAAAAGGCTATTATATGACCATTTTTATATCACACCCCTTAATCAGCCCTTGTGTCCTTATATCAGCCATAGGAACTTTGGCCTCACTGGAGCTCAAAGTGCGCAGTAAGATGTGTTAAGGGCTATGGCATCTCCAACATTAATGTATATTTTATTTCATTGAATAAACTTATCTTTGATTGAACAAGATAACCTGTTCTTGGTGTTAAGTTTGTATTTATCGACACATTTGATATCGCGTTATCTTTGATAACCACGAAAAAAAAGGATATAAAAAACCCCGGGAATATAACAAAGAACACCATTAGTTGGAAACAAACATTAAAAATGTACATAAGCTCTGTGCCATTTTTTGGCATCTTCCCATTAAGTATACCCACACAGTTATTAGTAGTTTGTAAACAAAAAGGGAACAAAAGTTGAGTAGCCCTTTGAAATATTTTCAATGGGTCTTCTTGACAAGTGTGACCACAATTAAATACGGTATGAAATATAACGCTAATGAATCTGGTTTACACCCTTTAAAATTATTGACTATCTGGCTAAAATATCGGAGAGTAGACTCGAGCTATTTACCATCTCTTTTTTCCCTTAATGCAAATATCAAAGCATTGCAAAAGTATTTTGTGAAGTTTGTCTAGCAAATGCCCTGTGAAAAGATACCTATTACATATTAAATACGGAGTTATATGTAGGGTCAACATCAACGCAAATATGCAATTATTTATAAAATCGAACCAGAGGATGTGGCATTGATAACTTAAAGGTTCACGTTTACAAGGCAATTTCAAGCATCTGCTTTCAAAGGATAGTACAAAAGCTACATATATATATATCGATATAGAATTATTGTCATTATAGCTAGACGTGAATTACTCTGCATCCTTTGTCCATGAATTCATCAATGCTAAGGCCTAATGTTTTTAAAATGTTAGTCGACTTGAGAAAAATCAAAACTGTCCATTATAAATGTTGCAATAATGATGGTGCGTTACAATAAATCAATAGACAGCTTAATCAGTTTGATATTTTTCAACATTTGAGTTTTCTTGACATTAAAATTGACCTACTGTCAAGTCTCATGAAATCCAGACCTGCTAGGATTTCTTTGGATTTTTCCGTATGTCACTTGCAATCATATTGACAATAATTGCATTCAGAAAAAATACTCTTATTGATTGAACATCCTCTTATCATACGCGACAGAGTTATTGGAACAGCCGAATAATGTTTCAGGCTACACGAGTTTATATTCACCTAAACGTATATATATATATTATGTATGGGTCAGTATCTTTATTTTCGGCTTGGTGTTAAAGGTACATAAATACATATATGTATGTGTAGTTGGTAGTCTTTGTATTGCCAGCTTTGTTCGCTTCATGACACATCATTACACAAGTCTGTATTACTTAAGTTAAGCTTTGGTTGTACCATTTTCTAAAAATAAAAAAGTGTGTTAGGTGCATATATGATATTGTAAAATATCGGCGAAGTGGTAATAGAATCAATACATACGGTTGTCTTAAAGAACTGCAAATCTTATGCAAAACTAGGTCGAATTCCAGAAATGTCAAAAATGAAAACCAGGTAATGATAGCAAATTGTATCAAATGATAGTTAACAATCAGACTATGAAGTCTGAAAACGCCCCAAAGTGAAATCAGCAATTAGAATATTTCAAATTAAATTTCGTCAGGAATCAACAGCTATTGCGATCAACGCGAAATATTCCTTGAACTTTCACATTTGATTTTGTTTTTTAACTGAGGTTAACGCCCTTGCACCAGCTAGGATCATGTGAGGATATGTTAAAATTGATATCAGGACTGACAACAAAACACAGAAAGAAAGATTAGACAGTAAAAAAAGGACGGGTATATATTAAGATCTTGAGTGTTGTGAATCTATAATGATCCACTTTAGTAGCGGACATGGAAGACAACCTGAAGTCGGCAGTGGACAACTTTCAGGCGCCTATGGCGAACATGCAGTGTGGTAAGTAGGCGTTATTTTTGGACTCTGATATATGTAAGCTCTGAAACTCTAAAGATATTTATTTCAATGTTCACTTTCACCAATCGCATTAACTTTAGTGACAAATTTAGAAGAAAATAACAAAGAAAATACTAAAAACACGAATTCGATGAAACAATTGCAAATAAGAACAAACAAAAATAATCGTTACATAGAGACGCCCGAAAAAAGTACATTAAAACAAAATATAGTGTTTTGGAAGGGTAAGCGTCTTCTGCTTCATCGACGACAACCGCTACGAAACATAGCTGAAACAAATGACATCAAAATGATGCCGGAGCATGCATAGGGATGGTGATGCGATTTTGTAAGTTCCATACATGGGCAATCCCGATAGGTCAGATTAATATAATTGAAATATCTATAACTGTTTTACAATTTCTCTAAACATTGCTTGATGTACATCCTTAAGTTTGAAATACACCTTCATAGACAACATTTGTGACACATCATATTGTTATACACAAACATTAAGAGTCTTGTTGATCTTAATGGACGACAAGAAAACAATCTCATTTGTCATAGGATATCTGAGTATGTACTTTTCTAATGTATTCAAAATCACGTTATATACAGTTCTTAAGCGTTACTATATCATTAATAACATTTCTCCCATTAATACATTTTTTTAGTTCTTGTTCTTTTCGTAACTAATACTTTCATTTCCTGATGAACTCCTTTCTGAATTCCCGTACCAGATAGATACTGTTAAAACAAACGCATGAAATTGCTTGAATTTGACATAGAATTGCATGAGAGTGTCATGTAGTCTTCCCTTCCCTAACACCTAGCTGGATCCTTCCCCTAAATAATTCATAAAATAGCCATGAACGATGTGTTTGGTTATACTGATCAACTCAGATTCTTTAGCGCGAAGTCTAAATCAGTTTTAAGATACAATGTACGGACAGCATAAACAATGCCATGAACATTGTAATATTGATATACAAAACAAGTTTAAGGACTCAAATACAAGACAATGATTTCTCGTGTTTTATCAGACAAGCTGGTTTATGTTTCACCTATGTATCGTTAGAAATTACACAATTCAAGACATTATTGATTTAAACGGTTAACAAAAATGTTCTCCTTCTATGCCATTTTTCTCTATGTTCGCTGCAGAAATTCCTTTTTGAAAAAAAAAAAAAAAATTGAACGATCAAGTGACTGATCAAGTGATCCATTATAACCTATCTGTTAATCAAAAGAAGCTGGTGTACGTGTGCGTGAGTCCTGTTATGATAATTAAGGATACGCGATTTTATCTTTGTATATTTAACTAATGGTTGGCGTAGTTTATACGTGCTATAACACCCTGCTGTCGAGATACACAAGGTCTTTGTCCATAGCTCTAGAATCGATCATTTATTCTCATATTAACGCTTTAGCTTGTGGCGGGGTTTAGGAATCAGCTTGATACTTCATTTTGTCAGGATAATTTTAGGAATTAGCTTGACACTTCAGCTTGTGGCGGGGTTTAGGAATCAGCTTGACACTTCAGTTTGTCAGAATAATTTTAGGAATTAGTTTGACACTTCAGCTTGTGGCGGGGTTTTGGAATCAGCTTGACACTTCAGTTTGTCAGAATATCTTTAAGAATTAGCGTGACACCTTCAACTTTTCGATAGATTTTTGTGTACAACGAATACGTTAGCTGCTGATACAGGCGCATAGCTGATAAAGTAATTAATTAGAGGAAATGATTACAAGATTTCTTCATCTATTTTCGCTCTTTACTTTGTCTTCTTGTGAATATAACGTGACAGAGATGATTGAAATAACAGAACTTAGACATTCACGTCTAACTGATGGCATAGGTATCGCAATATCAACATCTAGTGCCTTACGTTGTGCCGTTAATTGCAACTCGTCGTGCATATCGCTATCGTATCACGAGGACACGAAAAGTTGTCGCATCTTTGATTTCCTGCTCAGTAATGACAATTCCCTTACAGAAAATGGATGGAGGTCGTACAGGAAGAATAGGGGTAAGTTTCAGGAATGCCAACGCATGTTTTGTTGAACGTTTCATGTTAGAAAGGAGGATTTAGATGAAACCTTCATTGATTCAGATTAAATGAGAAGAGATGATAGACATATTCTGGTTTATCGGCAGCATTTATTAAGTGCCTAAGAATGTTTGCAAAGACGCTTAAGTGCTATGAGGTAAGTTTGGATATAAACAGGAGTGCTGTATAAGATCAAGTGAAAAGAAAAAAGAAAAAAATAAAATTTTCTTCGCCTACTTTTACCTGTCATGGCGAACCTGCTATTTTACCTTTTTCTAATAGTTTTGACGTAGAGCTACATTCTGGTTGACAGCTCAGAGTTCCTTTTTAATTTGAATTTGACCACAACCAGAAGAAAGACCATTGTTTTTAATAAGAATTTTGAGACTAAAACGTTATTTTTATAAAGTTTCTTTTTTTTATTTTATAAAGAATACGTTTGCTGTTAAAACAATATCAAGAAATAACAGTGCAAAATTGTTGTAAACAAAATATGTAAAATCTTTTGAGCATGATCGTTGATAAGTTTTGCAAACGTGATATTTTCAAACCCAATCGTGTCCGGGCTTTTCTTCAGAAAATTCTAGCGAGATCCTAATGAAATTTCACCTGCATATTCATTACGAGCTTTCCGTTGTTTAGCAATGCGCATGTCTGGTAATTGTGTTATTGTGTATAATTTATACAGCAAATTGTCCAACTGACGGCGGATACGTGTACAATTCCTCTCTTGACTGGTGTTACCGTTTGGTTACTGAACTGAGCTATGACATCCCAGAGGCGACCTCCTTCTGTGACCTTGATGGAGCACATCTGATCAGAATTAACTCCATGTCCAGACAACTACACATGACGGAGTATCTACGTATGTTGAAAAGATTATGTCGTCAAAACCTCTGCATTTGTTCCATATAAATTGATCACATTGAATTGTATGCAAAATGTAAATGAAAGAAAAAATAAATAAAAAATAAATATATTATGGACTAAATGAAAAATGTCTTGATTAAAGAATTATAAATAGAGTTATTTGGTTTCTGAAGATATATTTATATTTTCACGTACAACTAGTTCTAATAACGAATTATGTTATATTACCAAATAATTGTACTTCATGCTAACATTCAAAGTTATTAAGTAATTTATGAGTGATTTTTACGAAGATATGACATGGATTGAAGGAATTTTCAAGCTTGATAATGAAATTAATTCTATTTTTTAGTTGCTAATGGAGTAAATTCGATATATGTTGGAGGTCGTTCTGAAGACAAGGATAACAATTTTGTCTATGAGGATGGTACACTTTTAACCTTTACAATGTGGGATACAAACCAGCCCTCTAACCAACGAAGCATCAGTTTAAACTTGGCTGGAAATAGTTACAAATGGAGGAACGGACATGGAACATACCCACGTCCCTTCATGTGTGAAATATAACTGTGAAGCCGAATTGATGATGGCACATCTTGTATAATGGATACCTTGTTATTGATAAAATACTCTTTCTATAAAATTAGGGCGAAAATAAACAAAAGTAAAATCTTTACATGGAGACCACTGAAAAGTACAAGAATAAAACCACGTTTTCCGGAAGAGTAAGCGTCTTCTGCTTCATCGACGACACTTGTCGTGTAATCTTATAAGTAAACTTTGCTATTTTCTCAACTTATATGTAAAAGAGTACCACATTATCATATATGTTGTACACGTGGTACCATGAAATACAAAAGAAGGCTTTCCTGCAATGAGCGGAGATAACATTAGGATATACAAGTACAAAATCGAAGACTCGCCACTTATTCGGGACTTAAAGAATATACGATATCTGATAAAGACAGAATTAACACAAAGTCATGTTCACTTTTTCACAAATCAGCATTAGCAAAAACTTCAAAGGATATTCCGGACGTACTTAGGGTATAAGTATTTATAGAATATCTGGTTTGGTGTTGAGGTCAATGTTTTGTAGGTGCCTGAAGTCACTTGAGTGATTACAGACTGTCATGTGTCTGGCATAATTGTGCGAAAGACAAACAAATGAACAACAATATTCAAATATTTTTAAAATTTGACACAGTCGGATCTTGTTACAATAATAATTGTGAACCGTGCCCGCAATAGGTTTGTGATAAGTCTTCATGACCCATTCTCTGATCCGAACAAACTCATAAAAGGATATATACATCTTTAACATTGTCTCGAACCACGTAAAATTAACAAACAAGATCATTATCTTTATACAAATATCATTAACGATTCCTGTGAAAGTTCTCTCATAGTATATATCGCGAAAGGTCACGGAATAGTTTAGTTTCCAACATACAATTAATTTACCCCTCGTGTATAATTCTCGCACTCTTTATATCATAAAGGTCCTAAAACCAATTGATCTCTTTGTCCTGCTTTTCATCTAAGTCGACATGTTGTGTATAATTATGTGCAATGTGGTTTAAACGTTTCCCCCTTAAGACCAAATATGCTATATTACTCAAAATAGACGGGTTATTTCAAACCTTATATCGATGAATAGTATCATAGTATTGAAACTGTGACCTCGTTCGTCTGATTTGGCTATTTACAAATTCATATTTATTGTAGTACAAAGACCGGTATGAAAGAAGAGCGCGTGAAGAATAATAAACGTTTAATTACTTCAATGAGAATATAAACACAAAACCAAAGCCAGTGTACTGAAAGGTCAAGTGGTCAAATTGATCAGACTTCCAAAAATCTTCCCCTCTAGACTCCGATATGGTCTAATGCAATGGACTTAAGTCAGCTCCAGCAAGTTGTGAATTTTATGGCCTCACCTTTCCCCCTGAGTAAAGTTTAGTAAGGTTTGTCCAGGAATATATTAAAATTCTATTGGAAATAATTCACCTATGGACCGGATAAACATATGTTAAGTTGCCTGAAATTTCAAAAGTCTTTTCCTAAAGTTCCAGAAACGCAGCATCAATTACTCTTCGATAATAGGGTCATACAGTGCTTCTTCAAAGGTGTGAATTCCATAACCCCAGATGAAGTATATGCGGTTAAAAATATATATCTATATAAATGGAATGAATTAAATTGCATGTTTTCCTTACTCTCCTTGTAATAAGAAATGATTTGGCGGAGATTCATTGTATAGAAACGCCTCGTTTTCGAAATGTCCGATACCTTATATCTTTTCTGATTCTACGTATATATACACCTATGTATATATTTGTCATGACATGTGCCTTGATTTTTACAAATAAATATGCTAATATATCCATTGTTTCTTTACAAACTAAAGATTTTTACGATTGTTTTTTACGATTAACATTTCTGATATATACTAGCGGAAAAAACCGTACCTGTGTAAACAGTTCATGTATTGCTCGATTCTATTAATCAAAGCTTGAAACTTTACACAGGTAAGTTGTGTATGGCTTTCCGTCATCTACATTAGTCAGTGCATGAATTGACCCAAGTCTTCGTTTTTTTTTCGGCCAGCAGTCAATCGCAGAATACATATGTCGCCTAAATCTGTAACCTTTAACACACGGAACCAGCATAACGCCTTTGATACGCCATATCAGCGTTGAATGACACTGATAGATGCCGCGCCGTAGGCATGATCGAAGCTGGTGTACGCCATACTGACGATGCCAGACAATTTGGTGTGCACCGAAATACTGTAGACGGCTTGTGGAGGCGATACCAACAGTTTGGGACCACTAGATACAACCTGTTCTCCAGCAACGTCATCGTGTAGCACGTTTAGCATGGTACAACGGCACATACACTTTACGCAGTTTACTTTACCATGGGTTTCACTTTGTTATACTTCACCCAAACGGTACGAGGCATACGTCCACGACGTCCAGCCATACGCCCCGTTCTCCAGTAACGTCATCGTGAAGCACGTTTAGCCTGGTGTACACGACACATACACTTCACGCGACAGAACTGGATACGTGCTATTTTCATGTCTGAGTCCATATTTCATCTCAACAGCATCGACGGTCGTTCTAGAGTGTATCGTTTCCATAACAGTCGAGTGATTCAACGACGTCCATTCGGTGAGAGTAGTGTCATGGTGTGGGGTGGCATCTCATTCCGCAGCTCTTTTGGTTGTGGACGGCGCACTTACAGGCATGAAATACTTTGATGAAATCAACCATTCCCAGCTTTAATTGTGCAGCAACAGGAGTTGTCACAGGAAACGCTTTCCCGCATGTCACCGACTTCTTGATCTAAATCAATGTGAATGTGCTGTCCTGGCTGCAATGTCATCGGATATATCGCCTATAGAACACGCATAGGATGAGATGCAGCGTCGCTTACATCGCTAAAACCAGCCGATTGTGTTTCCTTACCTCTCACGTGCGCTTATAAGAATATGAGAGAACATCTGTGAAAACTGATCTCTATCTGCTGGTGCAATAACCATACCGATTTAGCTGGTGTTAAATTAAAATCAGATAAATTTCTGTGTAAAAAATATGGCCATTTCTTATTTACTTCCTAAGTAGCATATTATACCCATGCACACTTTCTTTTTTCTGTAAGTATATATGTATGGGTCAGGAAAGGCGTTAAGATTCGAATTTCAAAGAAACAGCACATTTGTTTTTACACTTCAACTTTTGCCTTCCTGCATTTGCAACAATAGAATGCCATCTTAGAAGAGACTAGAAGTGACATTTTACATGAAACTAGAAGTGACACCTTGCAAGAGACTAGAAGTGACAACTTACATGAGACTAGAAGTGACATCTTACATGAGACTAGAAGTGACATTTTACTAAATCTCTCCATTAAATAACACTGTAACAAGTACATTCACCTGGTGTAGAGGTTGACAAAAGGTTCCTTATTATGGAATTACAATGTTTTAATCTTAACATTGAACATGATATGAATTATTTTTGTTTTTATTATTACAGTCTTAAAGACCAGTCAACACATAAAAGGGCATTAGGGCCATAGACCGGTGAACGACACAGCGGTCCAAAAGGAAATAACACCAAACGATATAAAGACACAAGACAAATGCTAATAATATCACATATTCATATCTGACAATAGATCAAAATGTATAATTATACCCTACAATACAGGCCAACATCTTTCAGATAACCTAGATTTTTTTTTATAAATCTGAAGAGTTTCAAAACGGGTCTTAAACTTGAAACAATACGATGCAAATATTCTCTAGTAGACAGAAGGTCAATGCAGTCTAATAAAAGATGTTTAACGGTAAATGGTTCATCACATGTTATGCACTGATAATTATCTTCGCCTTTCAACAAATTTGACGTCTTTTAAAGATAATACAGCACTTCCGATTCTGTAAATTTGTTTTCCAGTCGACTGCGTATAGTGTTTAAGATGCATAAAATATTCTTATATATCATGTTCAGTTGACGATAAAAACACATTATATGCGATAGAAATCGTGGTTATTATATAATTCAGAATTATTAATCAATAACTAAAAAGAATATGGAACGAAATTGCTTTTTATAAACAGTGCCAGATACACATTCCTTGATATTTACAAATTTAAAAATAAAACTTTTAATTCGTCAGACAGGTGTTAATAAACAAGGTTTTGGATAGCTGAATTATTGTTTTACTCTGCAAACAGCGGTTGGCATTGAAAGACATAGGAGTTTACGTGAATGTCTGCCATCATGGTTTTAGTTAATGACCTGTGAAAAGTCAGATATCTTCGTTTGTAAGCCTTCATGCTTAAATCTTGCACTCAAAACTCCACACGATTGGACACTCCTAAACACAAGGAAGCTCATATGTTACACTTAAACAACCATATCATACCTTTCTGTATTCTATATATTAGAAGTATGAAAATATCAGAGCGGAAAACTGATATATACTTTACCCCTGGGCAATAACATCTGTTTGTTGAATGTGACCGTCTGTAATTTTTTACACTACAGGTAATGATTGATTGCCGATTAATCTATCTGTAGCGATAACTTACAAATTTTAAACTAACATTCACGGCATACTTTTATTGGAATTGGTAAAATATACTACAATTAATGTTGATGCGTTCAAAAATGTATCACATGAACGACTTTCATGTTATAACATATACCAGGATTAAACAACATATCACCGTGTAATGTCTGTCAATGTTAAACTGTTGAGACATGTAGTGATCAAGGATGCGCTTCATTAGATTAGCCTGACTTCTGTCTCAGGTTGTATTAAATGATCCTATGGTGTCACCTCAACAGTTGATTCGGAGTTATCGGAGGGAGTATTCTTTGCATAATGTCTCAACGCAGCTGCAGTTACAAACAGACAGGTCGCTGTGCCTAAACTAGCGGAAATACCATAGAATTGCGTCGTGTAAGATCCAGTGACATCAGCCAGATGCCCTGTAACAAAGATTCTAATCATACAAAAACTAGAACATATGAATGCAAGAAGAGAGCAAATCGATATTATATATTTTTTTTCGAAAGTGTTAGAAGGTATTTTTACTCGTGTTTCTTGTACAATGTTAAGTTACCTGCAATTGGTCCTGCAATGCTGTTACTGATACCAAGAAGCGTCATCAAAACTCCTAGTCCGGCGGAGTAGTCAAAGATACCAACGAGCTTCATGGTCGTCATGGAGATGGTGGTAATGCTTACACCTAACGTCATTCCCAGACAGACCATAAGGACTACGTACTCTGAGTATGTTTCTGCATGAGGGAGAAACGAAGCCACCGTCGATCCGATCATTGTGAACAGCGCAGGAACAAGAAGAACGTTTGAATGAGGTATGTACTTTTTACACAATCCTGGTAGCATTCCGCACAAAGTTTTTCCTATTTGTAAATATGTATACAATAAAATGGCCGTTTCAGAGTCAAAACCTTTCTCGATCAGGAAATCAATCATGAAGACCAATGACGAATTTACGACCGGAATCGTACAACACATGGCTACAACATGAATAAGATAAACCTTATTGGAGATCAGTGATTTTAGTGATTTGGTATAATTGTTTCGGTTAGATTTCGTTTCAGAGTCTGACTGTTTCGATTCATTCGTTGAGATATGAGGGAGTCCGATTAAAACTGGTTTGCAAACAGCGAAAAAGCATATCATATTTGCCATAAGTCCACCCATAATAAGTAAACAGCCTCTCCAAGCAAATTCCGCGATGAAGATATTGAGAAGGAAAGGGATAATTATTCCACCGCATCCGGATCCAAATGTCAGGAATGCCAATGCCATGAACTTGGATTTCCCTTCAAAATGTTCTCCTACACTTGTTAACGAGGAGATATACGCAGCAGAGAACCCGATTCCTGTTGAAAAAACATACTTTTCAAATGATATCTTAATTTTAGAAGTAGTTGCGATCATTTTTCTTAACAATGAAAATAATCTTATTAGCATCCAAGGCCAAAATCATATTTAGATGACACACAAGGAGTGTGTGAAGTCATTGACTTTGAAAATCGGTACCTTTCCAATTCATTAAAACTGTATAATCTTGGCAGTATTCATTTGCATTTAAAGTTTTAGAAATAAACGCAACTTATACCAAAATTGTTTAAGCTCCTCTTTGTCTTCATTCTTTTTCAGGAACAAGAAATCGATACCTGAAACTACGCCAAGCGTTACAATCAGATGTGGAATGCTCTGGGCAAAGAAAGAGAAAACTAGACCGAGAGTGACCAGCAGACTTCCAATAATCCCGGTCATTCTAGCTCCGTATCTGGCTACATACATTCCGCATGGTGTACCTGTGAAGACAAATATAACAATTAGAAATACATTACTGTACGATGAACAAACACTGACATTGCCAATCAGAATCTAGGACGAAGAAGCCTTATTGGATCCCATATTAGGTTGTTTAATGTCTAAACCAACGTAAATCTATCATTTAGCATTTTTGTTAGAATATTGATTCAGTGGTTGTATGATATTTAATTTTCGTGGATATCAGGGAACATGACAGCCATCTTGAATGTTGTTATTCCACTTTAGGTGGCTGTTAGTGTAGGTGTCAGTCCCTTTGTATTGATAAAACATAGTGAAATAATTGTATTTCAATTCACTTTACAATACTTCAATCCAAAACAGATTTTCCCCTTGGCTCGATTTTCCTTAAAAGATATATAGCAATACTGTCAATCAATTTTTATTACTTTGCACAGAACTCCCCATTACGTTTTTGCTCAATTTTTAAATGCTGTTTGAAGATGTTTCTAGCACATAATAAACAAATGGACTCCAATAGGAAGTTGTATTTTTGACCTTCAGAAAATTCGTTTTAATGTAAAAAGAACATGTTTTTTTCTCAAAATCCATGACATTTGTATCTCCTTTCCCCAATGTATTTTTTGCTTTGCATATATGATAATCTAACATGTTTATGTTTATTTTTTCTTTAAAAATCAAGACATGATTTGTAATTTTCCCCAAATTCCACACTTTTTTGTGTGTATTTTTTGGCACAAAAAGGTTGCTATATTCTTGTGTACATACATATCTAGACTTAAATGCCTATTTGTAAACGTACCACTACACAGGATGCCAATAGCACATACAAGCTGCTGTATTTGCCATTTTGCCACCCACTTTTGTATTTAAAGCTGCTGTTCATCTGTTTGTCTTTTACACTATCTTTGGAGTCTAATAAGGAAACTTGGGCATTAACGTCGACCAGCCAGGGTCATATTCACATTCTTTCTTATGAATCCGAAGATAATTTCAATGAAACTTGAAAAGTAGTAAAAATTAAAAATAAAAATTCTAGATTAAGCCTATTTCTTCGTAAATTGAAACTGACCCAGGCGTCTTTTCAAACCTCAAAGTAACGATACAAAATGTAGTCAGTAAGAGATAAGTTCATCTTACCTGCAACAAAAAGCATCCCGACGGTAATTGATTGAACCAAAGCCGTTTCTGCCTTACTTTTCCCAAATGTATTGAGAAGCTCCGGCATGAGGATGGACATATTGAAGGGAAAACCAGAACTAAGAAATGTGACGAAATATCCGGAAATCAACACAAACCATCTCCTCCTTGAGGATTTTTTCTCGACTGGTTTCGCTACTTCCTTGCAACTGAAATGATAATATAGATCACGCACGAACTACAACAGCTACTAAAAGAGACGAATACAGATCTGCTGAAATATGTGTTTACTACTTAGACTAGTGAACGTTACACCCTCTCATGGGGAACGGATTCTCATGACAATTCTGATAAAGCTTTATTATGGAAGAAATGCATTTGATTAATGGATCTTGAGAACAGTGTATTTGTTTATTATTTCACATTTAGACCTATCCCTTGAACAAGGCGTCATACACATATATTTCGCAATTTTGAATTATTTTGGCTAAATGTTGTTAACTCCCGATTTCCTTTTTTCATGGATGTTAAACAACTGTAAAAGATGTTTTAGCCCCCTGAATAAATGATGTTTTCTTAAAATTATTTAAAATATTTCAATAATATGACCCAGAAATTAAGTCTCTAGAAGTGTGCAACAATCAAAGGGTGAAATTTTACATCATGAGTATGTTTCTGTATTTCTAGTAATGCTATATATAGTTATGGGGTGGTGATCTCAACTGTTTTTAAAGATGTAACTCATAACCTAGATCCCCGGAGTAGTGCCAGACCCCAGGGCCAATTCTTACATCATTTTTGTATTTATCTTTGGATGCTAGACAATGCTATATATGGTTATGGGCTGGGAATCCCAACTGCTTCATAGATATAATCTATTTCCTCTATTGAGCCCGCCCCCTCTTGCCCTGGGTGGCCAATATCAACCATTCATACACAAATCGATTTCTCTTCACTCCAACATTCTTCAGACCAAATTTGGGCAAAATCCAATTAACCCTGCAAGATAAGTAGGATTTTAAAGAATTTTCCCTATTTCCCCCATTGGGCTCCAACCCTAGGGTGGCGAGTCGAACAGTTATTACAAAATCTATTTCCATTCAACCAATCAAGGCCGAGACCAAATTTGGACAAAACCCGATCATTGCTACAGGAGGAGCAGGGTTTTAAAGAATTTGCTCCATTTTTCCCGGACCCTAAGTCTATTCAGACCAAGTGAGCTAACAAGTCTGAATAGGTGGTTATCTTATTCTTCAATTATGATAATCAATTAATAATCACTATTGTGACGTAAGAGTTATCCCATTTAACTTTCACAGCTGAGGCTTTCTCGCATTTAAAGTCTTTTCTTTATTCTTTACTTGTAAAATGGTGAACATTGATCGCCATATAATATTGGGCCAAACAACATGGGGAATCTGGCACTGTTTACTCATTCTGATCACGATATCATCAGTGTTTCTACTCTAAAGAGAAAGTCAAACAAGGCTATTCCGAAGGAAACATTGTTCCAATACAATAATATATCAATCAATTATATAAAGACTAAAAAAGGCTTTAAAATAATTCAATGAACACTTTGGTCCTTTATGATAATACTCTGTCTGTAGGTATCTCCCTGTATAAATATTAATCTGGTATGTGGCGAAAATGTCTTTGTCTGTGGTAAAACAGAATAAGAAAAATGGTCTATATATACCGGAGATAGATAATTTGATAGACCTGAACTCGAAGATCTTCCATTTGATATTTTCATTGTATTTCTAATCTCCTCGGAAATATCTGAAAAGGGCTGAATCAGTATGATATGTTGATGACGTCATAGTGAGACAATCTCTAAATGGAAGTTAAAGCAGTTTTGCAGTTTGTGTTATAATTATTTTCGCTCAAAGTGAATTTTAATGTTACCATAATCTGAAAGTAAAGTGATTCGGTGTGAATCGAAGCGTTGCAGTGTTTGATCTGTTAAGATTTTGTCTACTTCCGTAAACATGATAGCCTTCCTTAGATACAACTCTTCTTCCCGAGACCTAAGACACTTAGCTCGCTGATAAATGGTATTGATGTATGTGTCAGAGAAAGGTACAGAAATGTATTCCTTAATCGACAATTTAGGGCATGTCGCTTCTAATGTACGTAACACGAAAACATGAATATTTTTTCTTCAAAATGAGTTATGAACCAGGTCTGTAACTTTACCTTACTGTTAAGTATAAACTTTTATTGAATTGGCTTACGAGTCAGTGTCCATTGAAACGATATTTGGATATTTTCCAGATTTGGGTACTTTTCGTTAAGTTACAGACCATATCCATACCAAGCTTGGAAAAAACCCTATTTATCTTTAAATCCATAACCACAGATATGGTTTGTTTACTTTTTTATTATTAAATATTTTCATAATTTGTGACTTTACTTAATTAGAATCACATATTTGTTAATTGTAAATTACGATATTGTAACTAATTAATATGATTCATTCAATCTGTAATTTCTCCTATGCATATTGTAAACTTTGTATAGTAAAATAATGATAGCGTAACTCGTTATAACGAGACAAATTAAGTTGTAAAAGCGATATAGCGTAACTCGTAATAAAGAGAAAACTTAATTCGCAATAACGAGATAGGAAAACTGTTAATAACGAGATACTGTGATTTTTCCTGTAGGACTAATCTGTTTTCGTATCTTTCGTACATCCTTCATAACTTTGACAAGAATTGGTTTAATGTAAAAAAAAGTACAGGAATGATAAGGTTTAAAGATAAAACTAACAAACTAGACAAGTGTCAATTAGTTCGTACTTACTTGTTAATGGAGTCCAAATTCGTCGTTGTATGGATAGCCATACTATTATTCTTTTTCAATAAAATAAATAGAAATCCCACTGATGGTAGTATTGTAACACTGTGTTTCAATCTCGCTCTACATAGCTAATGGTATATAGCAAAGTCTCGTGTGTTTTGTATTTGTGGGTCACGCTAATACATGTCAGTTATCCTGACAACTTCTGAAACCTTTTTAGATCGTCTTTTGATAATAAGTCAATGTGTACAATTCACGAATACATAACATTAACTATAATTCAATATTTGTTCGTGAAAATATCAGAAGATATAAATAAAGAGGTGATACCATTGCTGAAATAATAATTAACGCACTGATTAGTTATACCTTTTCGTATTATAATTAAATTAGAAACATACATATTTTGTTCTCAGCCCATATATATACACAAAATATATTTCTGGTTTTTAATAACAAGCATGTTTGCTATGGTTACGATGTATGTTTAACCAATGGATACCCTAGACACACTGCAATATGATTTTACATTTGACTCTTTTTCTTTGTTTACATTTTGCTTATCGATAATAAATTACTTTTATTACACGGTATAATAAATAAAGAAAAGCCTTGAGAGATGAATTATAATGCACTAACTCATTCGATTTGCTTTTCAGGTTTATACCATATGTCTAAATATTTGAGCTCTGTTGTATTGAATATGTACAATTAATATATAGGTCATTGAAGGACGGCAATCCTATATATAAGTGAGGTATGTGCATGTGTTAGATTCAAATATAGGCAATGTTCACTACATTGACATGCTTAATAACAAAGATCAGGCCTCTAAAAGATTTATGAACGACACAAGGTAAGAGTCCTATAGGACTAATAAAAGAAAAAAAAATCAAAATTTTCAAGCACACAACAATCTACATCTAGTTACCCATTTGGCCCCATCACTCTCAAGCTCGATCCTGAGGGGTAAATCGAAATCATTAATGAAAAATAAGACTTTTGTTATTTTTCAATAGTGAAAATAACAATTTTGCAGAGTTACACCAATGAAATGAGAGAACACAAATCGTCTGATAAATATGACAAAATAAAAAAAACCAGAAACCAGAAACCTGAAGGAATTGTTTACTAGTGACACGACCTCCAATTAAATCGTAAACGTTCATTTCCATGAAAGGCAGCATACAATGTAACGTAAATTATCTTATCAGACATTAAACCGAATCCCCAACCAAACTTGTTGAATGTGCAGCAAACACGTAAGACACTTCAAGAGGATTCGTGTCATCAAGAGCTACAGCAGTAGATTGCCGCCATGTTTTCAGCAGCGTAGTACATTGTCACTGGTTAATCTCTTTGAATCTTTTACAACAAATTTTGTCTGTAATCACATTTTCTATGTGAATATAAAATAAATTCACACTGAAATTGATTTTTCTCTTGGCATGTTTTGAATAATTTGTTTCAAAATACGGACTATATTTTGACGCGTACGATGAAGTTATATTATTGCACCTCGGACTAGAATGCATTGATCTGATTGGACGTTGCTTGCCCCCTATAAATCTATAGGGGGCAGCTGAATATATAGGGGGCAATGGCCGCCATCCATTATCTCTGAAAGGCGTCACTTCGTAATTTCAAATCACAGATTGGCGATATTCACATTCTGTTCCGTGTCGGAATATTGGCTAGAGTGAATCCTAGAAGTTGCTATTATCTAGTACGAGTTGTTTCCCCTACACGAAACACCTATTTGACTCGGATCAAAAATGGCTGGGCGGTTCGGGCAGACGACAGCTGCAGACAAGGAAAAAAAACGCCTGGCACTTAACGCTGATAAGACGTTAAAAGCTAATAAGTTGGCCGCTAAAGTGTTCAAAGATTATTTGGTGGAAAAGCAGCAAAACCCAGATTTTGAAGATTACGATGTAGTACGACTGGACGAATGTCTTGGCCATTTTTACATGGATGCCAGGAAATGTGATGGGACGTATTATATATATATTTAAATGGGTCCTTGGTGCAATAAATTCGTTATGTAGTTTGCTAGTGACCCCCTACAGGAATATAGGGGTTCAGTCAGATTGGTAGGGGGATTCTGACTGAACCCCTATATTCCTGTAGGGGGTCACTAGCAAACTACATAACTAATAATGAGTGAGTAGTGTCCGCGGAAAGCCTAGTCAGCTTTCTTCTTTTACATCTGTTTTAAATATGCCAGTAATTTAGCTATTTTGCTTTTGAAGACGTAACATATATAAAATGAATATTTTCTCCAGTAATAACGAA